GCTCCACATAGGAGGCCCAAGAAACGAATCGCAACACAAACGCTCCACAAAGGGGATCAGAGATGGCAAATACAATGCGGGAGCTGTGCAAAATAGTTTCAAAGGACACATTACAAACCAGGGGCTCCACACAACCAGTGCTGCTTTGGTGAAACGACAGGGAGAACATTGGTGCAAATGTAAACAAAGAAAGATTTTTTTAAGAAAACGGTGTCAGACTGAGTTTACAGGGCGATATGAGATACAAAGCCTAGCAGGCGTCGTACAATGCGAGTTGTGGAAGACATCAGTATATAGCTTCGGAGCCCCTAGATCAGTGATAACATCGAGCATAACACTACACGTCATCAACAAAACAAGACGAAAAATCGGTGTTGTTTAACAAATATGACAAAGACATTTAGAAATGTACACATGTAATTTGTGTTTTAGGTCATTCTTTGTTTAGAAGAAAAGAAATATATCCATACATTCCAAACAACTCTAACTTCGCAATGGTATAAAACAAAGCAGACGGATAGGCACTTTGCCATGTAAATCTTGTAAAACACTCAGTATTCCACATCTATTGTATTTAAGCAGTGCAAAAATATACTTGGCTTAATTTTGGCAGCAAAGTTTGGGAAAAGGTATTTGTTTTCTTTGAAAGATAGAAACGTGTTTTTAGCAAATAAGCACTGGTTTTGTTGTCTTCAAAGTGATCCTGATATCATCAGGCACAACTGTAAAGCTTGAATCATAAAACACGCACTTGTAAAATTCATTTCCCAGCGCTTTTTCATTCTATTTGATATGTTGGGATTGGTCAATATATACATTGACTTGAAGTATCAAAATCAAGAATATGTGTGTCTCCGGGGTTGGAGCATCCTCGATATCCAGGGGTTACGCTCACTTCCGCTCTCTACACCCCTGGAATATGTCATAGCAAAATTGAATGAGACGAGAAGACTATTTTAGTCCTTTGATGTACATCAAAAGAATCTCGCGGTCGCGTAACGGTAAAATAATGACTAGCTTTGAAGTCGGGCGTTGCTCCTTTGTAATCTTCAAAGGACATGTATCAGCCTTGTGATTGGTCATTTTTGTTTTACCTGACACCAATCAAATAGCTTGCCGCGTGCCTTCAATTTTTACTATGACATATTCCAGGGGTTCGTAGAGCGTTAGTGAGCGTAACCCCTGGATATCGAGGATGGGATTGGAGGCGTATATTAATATGAATTGTTACCTGACTCGCTATATAAATGCATATTAATCAATTTCGACTGTTTCCCAGACAATTCACCAAACGAACTATAGCTTATGTGTGCTACCGTAAAACTGTTGACTGGTCACCGTAAAACTGTTGACTGGTCACGTGAAACTGTTGACTGGTCACGTGCAACTGTTGACTGGTCACATGTTAGGTAATCGAACGCACCTATAATTACAAGCACCCCGATGACCAAGCGTTTTTGGTACTGGATTGTTGACGGTTGTCTGTCGGTAGATCTAAACATCACATTCGACATAGAACTTTTTGGTTTTTCATTGGTCAAGTAACAAAACAGTTGTTTCATGCCTTATCAGTCAACAGTCAAAACCATTTTCCCTCGGAGTTGGGACCCACCAAATGAACTGTTTCCCTCGGCCTGCGGCCTCGGGAAACAGTTCATCTGGAGGGTCCCAACTCCTCGGGAAAATAGTTTTGACTGTTGACTGATAAGGCATGAAACAACTGTATAATATTTATTACTATTTCTTCTTTATCAGGACAGATTTTCCGCGGATTTAATTTTCCTCTTTATTGTAATTTAATTTGATTCTAGTGCTGTCAAACCCTGTTTCTAATAAAATATTTCTGCTGACGAAGTCCAAATTGATTTACTTGTAGCATGCAATACACACTCAACCGTTAAAGGAAGGTTTCCCGTGGACTATAACTACTTTCATTAGATTTTAACTAGGGAATATTAAACGTTGGTGGGGATTCCAATAGTTTGTAAAACCTGAGGATGGTAAAAATAGTAGTACTTGGTTTTGAACTACTTTATTTGTATTCGTGATTTACTATTGATCTGACAGCCATCTCTTATGGAGTATAGCTATATTCTAAATACATAATGAACAAAACAACATTTTGACATCTAAGCATATTTAAGATAACCAGGCTACAAGAACCTATGCCATTATCTGTATGACGCAATGTTTCCATATAGTATAATGTAGTATACTATATAATCACGGCGGTGGTCAGGATGGCGTGGCTTCAGATTATTTCAAACTGAAAACTAAAAGAACCATCATTGGTAGAAGATCAGTATGTATCCCGTGTACGTCTTGACGTTGTTATAGTGCCACTGTACAACCCACTGCCCCGTTAGTGGTAAGACAAGTGTACTTGTCGGACATTTGTATGCATGTCTCGCGTCCATTTCGCGTCGTTGATGCCTGTGTTCCGTCAGGATTCTAGACCAGCTTGGGAATTCATACAATTCGAAATAATAAGACCAATGGCTATTGGTCTGACGAGGCCCAATTATATTCTCGAATACTGTTGAGCCGTGTATCTGTCCTCTCCAAACCGCAATTGATGAATCGAAGGACTCGAGCATGGCAGCCATCAGCTACTCAGAGGGCACGCGCATCAGTTCTATTCGATTTTCTTATCTGCGCGGAGTAATAATTGGATTAGAAGGGCCAGTATAGATTATGGCTGCACGACTATCAACTTATTAGAAGCATTAAGTCTCATCACAACAAGGACTACTGAGATACTGTATATAGAATTAATTTCTGAAGAATTATTGGATATTGCTTAGTTTTCTCATTAAAACCGGATCCCTCTCACAATGTATTATACCGCGGCTCTGTTTCATTAGAGTAATATATCTGTATGTAATAATGTGTGTGACTGACGATGTTTTATTACAAAATTAAGTCGTCATTAAACTGGAAATGAAGAGATTTATTGCTGATGTCGATCTGTACACCACGAATGAATCGGAGCAGTAGCTGACTTCAAAATCGTCTTCAATGACATCAACAAAGTCACATGCCTACTATATGTCTCTCAACATGGCCGAGTTGTCGAGGGACCATCTCGACACCTAAGTAGAGTCATTTTAAGCAAGGTTTTACTACCTTCTGTTTAGTAATACTTTTTGGAAAAAATATATGTTCCTGTAATTATTCTGACACATGACCTCTTTCTATGTAAAGTATAAGTCACGTGTCCCTATGATGACGTCACAATTAACCAATCCCAGTCCTGCTGCTTGCTTTGTGGGCCAGTTGTACTCGTACATAACTACACGTAAGACAATACGTATATGACCCGTAGATTGCATTACAAAACACACTAGACAGGTGCCCGGGGACATTTCCCAGGACTATGGCGTTACCTAGTAACACGATATATAATGTCACATGGTTAATCTGAATTTCCCTTTTGTTGGGATCTAATCGGGTAAATAACTTTTCCCTTCTGTATTTTTATGTCAAAATTTTATACGATAATAAGGTCTATATGCTTTGAAATGTATTAAGCATTGCAATTGTGGAATTTTTATCTTGGATAAAATGGCGTAAAACTTTGTTTGTGACAATTTACCTTCATTTGGAAGTTACCAAAATAAATCAACTTTCTGTCTAAAATTAGAGACTGGTTTTTTTAAACGCATACAACTGGTCGGTTAGCTGAGAAATCCCTGGAGATCAGACCTTCTCGACGGAGAAAAATCTGGAGATCAATACTGCAGCCCGAGAGCTGGAAGACAAATGATATATCGCTACCAGAGATTGATCTTACGCGTAATGGTGATTTATTCATGATATAAAATATCCCTCTTGGGAGCCCCAGATCAAAGGAATTTGATAGAAGTGCTTTGTAACAATCAGAAACAAATGTAGAGTGTATTGATACTCGACTGTCATGCATCACTGCCGGTCTGTAGTTGTTATCCGACCGTCATACATCACTTCCGGTCCGTAGTTGTTACCCCACCGTCATACATCACTGCCAGTCTTTAGTTGTTACTCTACCGTCATACATCACTTCCGGTCTGTATTTGTTACCCGACCGTCATACATCACTTCCGGTCTGTAGTTGTTACCCGACCGTCATACATCACTGCAGATCTGTAGTTTTTACCCGTCATACCTCACTTCCGATCTGTACTCGGCTGTTTAGCTTGGCATAAAAGGTCAAATTAACCAGATTAACACAGTATCATAACCAAACAACGTATGGTATATTTTTATTCATAACTCTATAAACGTAGGTTCTTTTGGCAATGCTTATAGAGGAACTTTTAGTGAAAATACAATTATCTAACTGTGAACTCTTATTCTTTAGTAATACACAGTGTAAACACAAACACTGGTGTATCTCCACTCCAGTGTACTTGAGGGATATGGTCGATATATAGTAAAGTAAGGTTTTATTGACGCAAACAGAGCACAATTTTCAAAATAAATTGTTTTAAATATTGTTTAAAGATCAAACAAGTCATAGCAAAAGATACATTGTTTTTCAAGTAAATACAGATAGATACCACAAGGGTAAGGATGGGAGCTACCTTTGAGTGAGAAGAACAGACATTGAACGTTTCACTTTCACCTTATCAATGCAAAAAAACTTTTATTATCGATAATGTGTCTTGCCATTCATTTGAAGAAAAAAATACCCACTGGCATGGATATATGTATTGTGGCAAGGATGGAAACGTGATCAAAATCAATTGCAACCGCTAGCACGCGCCTTCCACTTCCGGTGATCATGCAAGTGATTGACTGGGAAGGTATTGGATAATCTGGTCTTTTTTTGGCTTGTGTGTTAGTCAATTTTACTGGAAATACACGTTTATCTCTTCACCTCACGCGATAGCGTTTGCTAAAAATAGAAACAAACTCAAGATAACATGTGATCTAAAACAAAACAGAACTAAAGAGTATACCTATATGTTTCGAAATCAAAACATTTGAATAATTTACCAAATTTATCTTATGTTTTACAGGACACGAGATGGCGCCGTGCCCGGAGGAGGCGGGGTCATTTAAATGTAAACAATGCTCGGACGCCACCTTCCAGCCGGACAGAAATGTATGGGGGGATAAATGCCGTCTCAGGTAAAATGATACTGTTATTGGGTTTAATCCGGGACGACTAGACAAATGAAATGTAATTTTTGGTTTTATTAAAAGAAGTTTTGTAAAACAGAGATATGTGCAGCACAGCGTTTATACAGGACAGATGCTGTAAAATACAGATTTCTACGATGTAAACTTTTGATTAATTGTAATTCAGGGTCTGTTAAGGTCATGGTAAAACTATTTCGGTTCATATACATTTTAAACGATGTAAGGTGGGAAGCTTGGATGTTTCATTATGATTGACTGATCTGTAGATGTTCAAGAGTTATCGTTCCGTGTTATAATTTGACTTTATTATCGTCTGATGCAGGAAGGTTTGTAATTCCCGCCCAAACATGACCTACAAGGATTACGGCAGTACCATCAGGGACGCGGACTGCAAGTGTAGACCTGGCTATCACTTTGAAAACATAGACCAACGCGCATGCGTACCAAATAAAGTCTGCGATAAAGGATATGGACAAGGCGATTATGGTAAATAACATGATTTTATTATACATATTGAATGTAATTAAACATATTTGTTTTTGAATATTTGTTAAATTTATTTGAAATAAGCCAAAAATCTAGTAAATGACAGTTATTGAAGTGATTTTAATGGCATTGTATCAGATGGCTTTTGTTCATATGCAACATTTCTGATGGTAAAACATGTAGCTTAGAATACTCACAGGTGAATATTAACCAGCAGTGTCCACATCTAGCGTATATAAGGACGCCAATATTAGGGACGTTCGGAACTTATCTTACCTTTTTATAAGCGAACAGTGTAAGTCGTGGATATAAATTCGATATCCTAGTCAAGGTTATATTAAAACATGTAAGATCTCGGCTTTCTAAAGTTTTTTTGCCGATACAAAAATACAAGTTTGCCCTACATATAACTTCAGCAGAAGGTTCTAGCAATTCAAATTCACATACACGGTTAAACGTATCAGCCAGGATAAGTGATCTTTTGATACCAGATCAATGTTGACCCTGTCTTTTGTTGATTCTACTTCACAGGGAAATGCGAGAAATGCATTGACCTTAACATGTACTCCGACAAAAAGGACAAAATCCAAACGTGCCAGCCCTTAACAAAGTAAGTACCCTATTACGCATGCGTGTAGAGATATATGTATATTACAATTGTGCATGTACTTATGGACACACTGAGTACAATCTATAAATCACGTGGTCTGTAGCACATATCATATGTTCGGTAATTTTTATTTCATAATAAAGAGATTGCAAAATTACATGGGAACTCCTATGTACCAATGTTTAACATGGATATGCGTAAAATACATATATCGACGAATAAAAAAAAAGGATATCTTTTATACATGTATATGTTATATAAAACGTCATATAGCCTATAAGTAAAACAATAAACTGAGTAAGACATCGAAGCCCCAGCAATATCAAACTCCTGGATACATGTACTGCGGTTACGTCTGCTCCGTGTGTTGTTTTGCTGTAAAAACAGTCTGCAGTCATTACTACCATTTTTACAAGTTTAATTGTGAAATAGCTTTTAGCACAACTATATAAAACGTCGTTAACCGAAATCGAAACTCGTAGCATGACACTCAATGGAATCGGCAAATAATAATAATGTTAGAACCAAAAAAAAAAATATCTTTAAAAATGTTTTTGTGTTTTGTGATAACAAGATTGAAGAGTTGTAACGGTTGTTATCGCTATCGATCACCGCCTGAATGTTCAATTCCGTAAGGACCACAACCATCGAAATGTGTTCTACGAATTTCAACAAAAGGGATCACATTTTAGATTTCCTAGTGAACACCGGTCTAGAAAATAAATGTTTCATTGAAAGCTGTGTGTTACGCAACAATGGGAAGGGTTGACAAGGTTTCTTTGAAAAATCGAAATTGACTGCGAGCATGCATGCAGCCAGTCTTTGTTGGCGTTTCTCTGGCACACACTCACATACATGTAGGTGGATGTACACCGCTCGAGCATCTACAACATGCCACCAGGGCATATAGCGACGGCTTCCCAAAAAGGCAGCTATAAAATCGATAGTCTTTTCATTTTTTTAAACAACACTGTTCAGTATTGAATGTACACAAGCATATTTCGCCAGAACTGATATAGCCAGGATTGATTCTGTACAGTGTTGATACAGTATAGCTGTCATGCTTGTCTGCATTAGCTGGTATTGGTATTGACATCACTGCAAAAACGGCTATTATTGGAAACGCAAATGCATTACCAAGAAAGCTGAAATTCCTGGAGACTATTAATGCGAGTCATTTTTTTGAGATTTTGATTTCGTGTTTATTTTGTGTTAATGATGTGCTAGAAACGTTTTATATTGTATAAATACAATATAAAAAGTAATCATCATACAAATTTACGCTAGATTTTTACAGAAATGTTATAGCCGAAGTCCTTCATTAAGATTGGATAAAGTTAGATGAATGACGTCATACCGACTTTAGATGTATTGATTGATATATTCAGTTGTTATGAGTTTCAGCAAATTTATTCTGAAGCTATTCTGAAACGATTTATGACAGTAAGAGAGTGGGCTGAAATGATTTCCCCTGTGATATTCCCGGGATATTCCGAACCTTTCACTATACACCCAGACACTCCGTTTCTGTCACAGCACCCAGACAATCCATAGAAAGCATTCCTGAGCTTCACACAATCTCGAGAGAGAGTCCGTAATATAGAGACAATCCACTTACAGGGCTTATTTTCGCACACAGATACATTCTCTAGCTAAACAAAATAAAACATTGAGACATTTCATGTTTTCATACAAAACCTAAACAATCCAGAAACATACCACAGTTTCACACCGAGACAATCCGTCAATTCACACAACACAAGTTTATCACACTTTGTAGCCGTAGGTTAATGTACGTACGTCACACCTGCCTTTTTCACAGTTTTCTACTTCCACTTAATTACTTTATCACAAACATTTGATACACGTGGCAAAAACAAGCCATCTTGTCGGCACCAGCAGTGAAACACTCACCGCCTTCTATAAATAGCGGTGTGTTTCTGATCTGTTTAGCTTCTTTGTCAGTTTGTACGATTCTACAATCTCCCTATCTGGTGTTTTATCCATCTCTCCAGCGGACTACAGGTCTATCTCTCTATCAGACATACTACGAACACATGTTATTGTCCTTCTCGCTTTCTGTCAACAAATGTTGAGTATAATCCTGTATTCCTTTGAATATAATGTTCAAGATAGTTTTGAAGATATCGAATGTCTTTCATTAGGTTCACTTAAATGTAACATTTGTCTATTATCTTGTCTTACCTGTATAGTACCCGAATCTTACCTGTGTATAACCTTTATCTAACCTGTATCTTACCTGTGTATAACCTGTATCATATCTGTGCATAACCTGTATCTTACCTGAATTTACCTGTTTATTACCTTATTTTACCTGTTTATTACCCGAATCTTACCTGTGTATTACCTGTATATTACATGTAACTGTATCTTACCCGTGTATTACCTGTATCTTACCTGTGTATTACCTGAATATTACATGTACCTGTATCTTACCCGTGTATTACCTGTATCTTACCTGTGTATTACCTGACTATTACATGTACCTGTATCTTACCCGTGTATTACGTTTTATACGTTATATATAACATGTTTTATACGTTATATATAACATGTTTTATACGTTATATATAACATGTTTTATTCGTTATATATAACATGTTTTATACGTTATATATAACATGTTTTATTCGTTATATATAACATGTTTTATACGTTATATATAACATGTTTTATTCGTTATATATAACATGTTTTATACGTTATATATAACATGTTTTATTCGTTATATATAACATGTTTTATACGTTATATATAACATGTTTTATTCGTTATATATAACATGTTTTATACGTTATATATAACATGTTTTATTCGTTATATATAACATGTTTTATACGTTATATATAACATGTTTTATTCGTTATATATAACATGTTTTATACGTTATATATAACATGTTTTATTCGTTATATATAACATGTTTTATACGTTATATATAACATGTTTTATTCGTTATATATAACATGTTTTATACGTTATATATAACATGTTTTATTCGTTATATATAAAAGGTTTCATACGTTATATATAACAGGTTTCATGATATCTTTGGACAGTTGTGACTGATACCAAACTCAAACGTGTATCAGCTTCTATTTATGATACAAAGATAATGGAGTCTGGAAAGTATCTTGGAAATTCTTCAGATATATACGTGTACCATTTTACCATCTTAATCTTAAAGTTGCGGTGTCATACATGTTAAAGTAAAAATTCGTATGCGTTCTACTTGTAATATACAATTCAAAACTTTTAGTTTAATTTGCTTTTGAAACAGAAGCAATGTTAAAAACTTCAGCACGTGAACAGATATAAGATGCACAGCTTGCCGTTCTTACTATTGATTCCGTGGTTAGACTTGTTACATAAAACGACAATTACAATGATTACGTACTTTATTAATATATGGCACTTTATAGTATATTCGGTTCAGCGTTAAGTCATACAATTCATTAGTATATACATTGTACCCATTGATATGTTTATAAATGATTTTTGGAGTAAACATCTGAGTCGAAACTACGACCTAGTTTATACCAGAAATAAACTCGAGGGATGCGGCTCTTCCTCTATTCAGAGGAATTCTTTTTGTCTGCTTTCCACATGACTTGCAAAATCTATTTTTTTCTGAAAATATATTAAATGAAGGTCTAAGGGGGTGATATGTGTTCCTTCTTTTTCACTTTGAGTTCCTGCGTGTTTATCCCAGTCCCTAATCAGGTCACCGTGTCTCTGTAACGCATTTGAGGACTCTTGAAATGCAGCCATATAAAGTATAAGGATCTCATCCTAGTGAGAAGATGTATACGGACAGTGTAAGGATCTCATTCTAGTGAGAAAACGGGCAGTGTAAGGATCTCATCCTAGTGAGAAGATTGTTTGTACAGTGTATGGTAATCTGACCGTACTTATGTTTGTACTGTGTATGCAAATCTGACCGTACTTATGTTTGTACTGTGTATGTAAATCTGACCGTACTTATGTTTGTACAGTGTATGAAAAGCTGACCGTACTTTTATTTGTACAGTGTATGCAAATCTGTCCGTACTCATGTTTGTACTGTGTATGTAAATCTGACCTTACTTATGTTTGCACAGTGTATTTAATCTGACCGTACTTATTGTTGCGCAGTGTATGCAAATCTGACCGTATTTTTGTTTGTTGTTTTACAGTTGTGAGAAGGACAGCCGGTGTACTAAAACAAAGAGCAATGGTACATTCGACAACGTGTGTGGGGGCAGTAGAGTGAAAGGTAAGTAACAGCACGTGACCGACACCATCCACAGGTGATCACACTCTACATTCTATTACAAAGTTACAGCAAAAGTTCACGAAAGGTATACTTGCTTGCTTGGACGAAACATCTTAATCAATTGAGGACATTCTCAAACACGTTGGTTCATATTGTGTCTTTTCCATTTTGGATGACTAGAGTAAGTTAGATCTTCTGAAGACAGTTCATTTTTACTTTATCAAAATAGTTTTTTTTTAATAATTTACGTATTGCTTTTTAATGTAAGAGAAGTTACGTGTTGTACGTTAAGGAACAATAGGACCATCCTTAAGTTAACAATAGGACCATCCTTAAGTTAACAATAGGACCATCCTTAAGTTACATATAACAATAGGACCATCCTTAAGTTAACAGTAGGACCATCCTTAAGTTATAATTACCGAACATGTTTTATCTCGGTGTGGACAGTGTACCGTCTGTTGGTGTATGTATGTGGTCTGAAAACGTCACTAATACAAATAAAAAATAAACAAATTTGGTGCTAATACATTTTACAATATATACAAACAACATATTGTTTTAATAGTGTGATTATTTACAGGAATGTTTGTAAGTGTGGAGTGCGTGTGTTCAGTTTAGATATATCACATTATAAACATCGACTGAACTACAGATCAATGTAATTAAAGTGAGAGATATCGGGAAGTGGCCCTGATCAATGTCATTTAATCTAACTAGTCAGCTGTAGTGGCGCTAGTTGTACAGATAAAATTGGTCGTCTCTAGTAGTGTTAGGTCTATTAATCAATGTTATACTATTTAAAAGTTTTATTTATGAATAGAAAACGTACATAGCTCCAAGTAAATTGTCGAATATAGCGATGCTCTCCAATGCAGAATATATATATATTTGTGTTAAAGAATAATATTTGAATATGGCCGATAAATTGGATAAATTGGCTCGATGAAAAGAAGTTATTTAAAATCAAAATGCAATGTAAGCGTAATTTTGCAATGTTGAAAACTCATTCATTAAACAAAAGTGAAATGATAGCTGAGGTTTTACGTGTATGGAACTAAATTCCCTGTCCTGGAAAATTGGATTGAAGCTTCAAATGATAAAGATCTTTTTGTTTGAAACAGTTGAAAGGTTATGTAGAAACGTGAATAAGAGAGAGTGATTTCACCACCTCTAAAGCTCCGTTAATGTACACCTCTAATGCGCCTCACATCTGGTTACTGCGAAACCAAGAGTTTTACCAAACATCCACTTAGAATCATACGTGTTCATCCCCTTCCTGTCTTTAATTGAGCCGTGTATATTCCCAAGGCTCTCGAATTCAACAAGAACGATGAAAGCGAAGAGATACAATATGAAGCGAAAATAATCAATCTTTTTAGCTTTGAGAGTTTAAGAAGATGGTTTTTCTTCTTCATCGTTGCTAAAACGTTCTTGAGTGATTTACTCCGGTCTGTGCCGGGTTGCTATGGCAACTGCTTGTGTTTTAAACCAATGAGTGGTTTTGACAACTGTCAGTTGAAACGAGGGTATTGAAATCTCGAGAAACGGCTGCGGGTGAGAAATGTAACTAGATAATGAAAGGTTTCCAGGCAATGTTATGGAATATGAAAACGATTTACATAAGCGATTGCATGCTGAAAACACATGAACGCTAGTTGGTTTCATTTGATAAACACCCTTATGAAGAGGATGTAATGCGTCAACACTTAAAAACAATGGAAATAGTTTGTTATCATCTAGCTTTAAAAATCTGTAATTACTCGTATACTTTCATATCTGAAATAGTTTTCAAAGCATGAATTACATTATTACGTAATACAAAAATACTTTTTTTTAAAGTAGCATCTTTACAACCTTTGATTATATTCAGAAAGACTTTGTTCGGTTTTTAAGCAATATATAATATAGTTTTGTGTGTAATATGCATGCTTTTTCTCTCCTAAATATTGATGAATACCCACTTGCTATAAGTATAAACCCTTAAAAAAGTCAGTTTTTTCACGTTTGGAAATTAATTTAAAAATATTTTGCATACAACAAAACTGTTTCTTTAATGACGATACATTATTATGATGTCCTCTTTCCCTTTCTTACAGATGTCGCAAAATGTGAGAATGCGACAGCTGAAAATACTAATGGAGATGACCAGGGCTTTCTCGGTACTGGGGCAGTCATTGGGCTCGTTGTCGGATCCGTCGTGGTCATTCTTTTCATCATTTTCATCTTCATCTGTCTCCGACGTCGACGACAATCACGAAATGTAGAGGATCCACTGACTGAAGACCAATTTAAAAAGTTAATGGAACGAATAATTGAAAAATCGGATGAAGAAGAGGCGTATTGTAAGAAAGGTAGGTCCTGTGTGTTAACTTGTAAATGGTCTAAACAGTAATGAGTAAAGTAGTAGAGAAAGGTTATTAAATGTCAAGTTGAGGTTGCTAATAGCAGACGCTTACCATATTATAAAAACAGCAGGACCCGCTGGTTTATTTAATGATTTCGATAGTTCGATAATGAGGAAATATATTGTTCATGTAAGAATTATTTGACCTGATCGATGAGATGTGAGGGGGTTTAACGATACTTTGTACATAAAATTACTTTCATCATAAAAATGTAAGAGATGTTTTAGCTGAAACAGGAAAACAAATGATATGAGAAAATATTCATCACTGTTGAACGCTGTTAAATCTACGAAGTTTTTATGTCTAAATTATTCAACTTGAAAATCAGCTATGCGTTTTCTATTGATAATGAGTGTTTATATGTATGGTGAAATTAGATACATATCCGTGTCTGTCATAGTAATTTTAAAGATGCCATAACAACGAATTTAGTTTCAAATTTACAAAGTTTGTAAAGATAAACTACCCGACCATAAAACCGGAACTTATCTTTATCTATAAAACACGACACGTCACGCCAGCCATGTTTTTTGTGACGCTAGTGAGCGTTATGTGAAGTAGATATCCCGTATGTAACTTATTGTTTAAACATGACTGTATTGTATAATGTTCTGCTAGCTTTTATAACGAACACTATTCGACCTCGACCGAAAATATTGTATGCTTGAAAGAAATTACGAAAAAAGAATTTATTTAAATACCTGTACTTTGATGAGGCTTATGTACATCTGTCAATGTTTGTACAAGAAGACGCTGCTGTACAGGTGTCTGTAGCTTACCTGTACTCGTACTGGTCAGGTGAGAAGAGGCTGTGACATTAGAGTAGTAAGGTGGACACTACAATGACTAGATTACATACCCAAACAATACGGGCGTGACTAATGATAGAGAGTCAGCGTAGGAAACATCATTGTAAGCTAGCGTGCCAGACGTCATCAGAAGTTTATGTAGGTAAATCGTAGGCTACTTGAGATTAGATATCCAGTGATTCGTACATAATTATAAGACTGTCACTTCTGGAATGCTTTTGCCCCTAGCGTGATCGGTTCATGATCGGTCCACATACGTAACGTAAGATCTTATTTACTCAAGTACTTCACGAACAAGATGTTGTGAAATCATTTTTAGGAACCGTAGATTTATTTTATAGTTAGTTTTATAGTAGATATATTTTATAAAGCATTTCGGAAATGTAAATGACTTTGAGATAAAAATCTGATTGCAGGTTATTTATCTCATAGGTGTATCATAAAGCAATTTTCTTAACGTCTATTTTGAGAGGTAATGCCCCACGTCTAAACAATATAATTAAAGCAACACTTTCATCAGAATTTTATTTTGAATTCTGGCCTCTGAAAGTGATTTAGAATATGTTAATAATTATGATAGGTATTAGGTAATAATATAATATGAAGTTTACACGTGAAACGGATCTGAATAAGTTACAAGTAATTCATATATTCCTACAGGCCGTCTACCAATCATACTTTTATCTGCGAAATATCTGGTGTACTTTTATTTCCTTTAGCTATGACATTGTTTCGATAACTGATGATCGATCAATAATCATATACAAGTTGATACTGATTTTTTTCGTACATTTGTACATAGTGTTTTGACTGTGGTTCCTCCCGTATAAAGTAAAATTATCCCTTATATACTGTCATATAATTGCCGCTGTAATATCTGTATTTGTTAAACATGAAATAATTCAGTAAAATTTAGGTAGCATTATATTTTGCTGGACTTGAACTAGATTAACATTGACATGGTATGATGGTAGTTTGCGCTTGTTAACCCCACTTTTAGTAAAACATTTTGACTTCAGATTTTCCCAAACGTTGTAACCTAAGTTGATTTTACATTTTCGTTTTTTAAGGTATTGGCGGATTTATTTCCTTTGATGTGTCCCGGAAGTTATTTTGTTGCTTTGTTGGGCGCATACTTTATTGTGTCGCCTAGAGCAACCAAACTTGGGTCATAGGTGTATCATGGGATGTATAGCTGAATGCATTACACTCTTTAATAGTATTTCAACGATTTCTGTATTTTTTGGCTAAAAACCTCAAATTTCTGGACTTAGTAAAAAAAACTCAACGTTATGGCTCTTTCTGACAAAGTATAAGAGCTAGACCGACCAAACCTCAATCATACATGTATCATGGGAAGTAGAGCCTACTACTCTAAAAACATGTCATGGATTTCTGCACTTTTTCGGATAAAAACCTGAAACTTCTGGACTTTAAAAAAAAATGTTATGATTTTGCGTTTAGGTCCGTTTCCTTATGTACTATGTCAAATGCTTATTATATTGACAAAGCGGGACAGGCGACACATATAATTAGGCGTAATTCTTATTATTTACTAGCCCTGTATTCAACTTGTCCTTTCTTGTTTTCACCCTTATTACTGTTTTAATATATATTTACTTGCCCTATATTAACCTGGTCTTGGCCTGATGATTCACCTTGTTCTGTCTTATTTTGACCAGTGCTGAGTGCGTCGTTTCGGGAGATTGAGGACAGGATAGATCGCCAGAAGTGGTCTCTTGCCCAGGAACTGTTCCGGAATCACTACCAACCCGCCATGTATGAAGTTATCGTCGATAAGTACAAAGGTACGAAACTAGCGCGGGGCTGGAAATGGATTACTCTACTGTATTTCTCAGTTTTGCACAACGTTTTACACTAATTTTAAGTCTTGTGTCTTTGAGTATATTTTCGAGTTTCTTACTCTTTAACATCAGTGGTATCTTTAGATGTTTTACAATTTGTTTGCATTATCTTTCGGACAGTGGTTGTTTTATTCTGCATACTTGTATTTCTACTTTTAGACAAGGAATGTAAGTTTGCCGTGAATGGCTACCTTCAGGATTGGCGGGAATACATGGGAGAGACAGCCCAATCTGTGCAGTTCTTGTTTAGATGTCTTAAACAGTGTAGGCGGGAAGATATCGTGTATGAAATCTGCAACAAGTTCAGAGAAGGTACCTACCATTATTTAAAAAACTTAACATTCTATTATTATCTTATTGTTTAGATGTATTTGTAATTTTATACATTTGTACCTATATACCTACATACAAATTTTATAATTCTATTAACCTACATACAAATTATATAAATATATTAACCTACAAACAAATTTTATACATACCTGCATACAAATTTAAATATTATTGGAAGCACTTAAGTATAACTACCGACGCAATACAGTATTAGTCGGATTCCTACTTCTTGAATGTCATTCTTAAAAAGTTCTCACTACTTCTTACATGAGTGAGTATTTAATATAATGTATTATGCTTCATGACATTTATTCTAAATAGTTGACTCTCATTGCACAGGCTACCCCGAAGTGGTAATTGACGCAGAAGCACAACTAGAGAATGGGGTGGTGAAGAAGCGAAAGCCTAATTCGAAATACAGCAACGGAATCCTATCGACTCTATTTCCGTGCTCGAGCTGTGGCAATCACAGGCAACACGGAAACGCAAACAAGCAGGAAAACAATGAAACAAAAGACAAACTTCTAAACCTGGAGTCGTCGCCGTCTAAAGAGGAGAATATGTGTGGAAAAGACGTCGACCTGCAGCCCCACGATGCCGGTGCTATTTATAGAGAAAGGCCTAGTCCAAGTGCGCCGGTCATAGACGAGGCAGGTCACGTGCACGTAGTTGTTCCGTTCAATCGTGCTATGTCCTTCCCAATACAGGCCAGTTCGTGATCACGTGACACTGATTACCTTAGTGGATCACGTCATATGATAATATCAGAAAGGCGACCGTTTCTATTGTGTTCAACGTTTCATTCATCTGATATAGTGGATCAAAGATCCTAGTAGAACTCATAACTAAGGTGTGGAAGTTGTTCTGACACTCAGCACACACCCGTACATGTGATGGCGGTCGTCTTTGTGTGTGTATAGCAAAAACAAATATCAAAAAACCTGTATGGTATTTGTTAAGTGACAGAAATTAGATGACGCTTTGGCCTGGACAAAACAAAAAAACCGAATGGAAATTATTCCGAAATTTTAAGACCAAAATACATGACAAGACATTTGTTCTTAAAACGCAGTAATTGATTATAATCAAGATGATCTTCACTATCGAATCAATAGGTGAAACATCTTACGAGACAAGGTTTATTCCTAAGTCCAGTAACAATCACGCAACTCTATTTCAAAACACATGAAAAAAGAGAAGATTACGTATATTGCAACATAGAAAAACTTCAGTGCAATGTGAAATATGCTATAAAGGTGTATGTTCTGTATTCGTTTCAGTTTCATGTTTAATTGAGAATAAGTGTTTGGTTTTACAGGCGGAAAACTATACTAGTATGAGAGTACGTGAAACTTTCAATATCCTAGTTTGATGGAGAACTTGTAAAGTTGTCGTTGGCATGTAACATGCCACAGTCGAGGATATTAAGTATCATCACTGAGGTACTGATGATTATGAACTTGAGCAATTGAGTGTAAGAATGCGTTTCAATGAATATAAAGATTGGATGGACATGTGTGTGCTTTATTGCACCTTTTAAAACATTATGTATAGCTTCTGGGATCAAGTAATGAATCTTATTGTGTGAAATGAATATTTTTATCATGAACCTAAATGTCGGTTTTGTAATATAGGTAATGTACTGGAGTAAGTCGTATGTCTGTTACTGTTTTTTTTTATAGATTATCAATTCGTTTTCATCTTTAACACGTGACTTTTTTTACGTCCTTGGATATCGACATGTGCTCAATTAGGATGTCAAATGTAAGCAGTGACGAGGAATTAGAACAATAAGGATAACAAAGGACTGTGAATAGTCGGTGTAAAATTTACTGGCTGTTCATGACCTCTTGTTACACATGTATGTGTGTCTGAGAATTCAATCTTCAAATCTTGAATCTTGCTATAACAAAGGACTACCATAGGTATAACACAGGATTGTAAAAACTGGTATAACACAGTGACTCACTTTTCATACATTAGTACATAGTATTACATCTGGGATTTGCAATACTTATCATACAATAGGAAATAACACTTATTTATCATTATCAAAATAAGACTAAATTTCCATGATATTATCTCCTTATATCTTTCATGGTCCCCAGAAAATGTCAATTGATTTTCTTCCTTTTTTTAAATTTTAAATTTATATTTTAAATTTTGAAAACATTTTTGACAAAATATTGACAAGTATAACGATTTTTCTATTCAATTCATCAAATGTTATATAATGCAAAATTTCAGTATATACATGGAACCTGTAATTGACAAGGGCTTCATTATATGCCAATGTTTAGATCGGTGTTGACGAAATACTGGAGTGTTTAAAGGTATATAAAGGTAAAATAAAATAAGGTATATTTTTTTTTTAATGTAGATGTTATTCTTTTGATGTAAAATTCCATGTGTTTGATCGAAATGAAATAATAAAGTTTCATTGTTAGAGGTATGTTTACATACAAGTCGACTGAAATAGTTCGCATTCGAAATATTTTACTTCAGAATCAGGAAAAAAGAAACAAAATATTCACAGCAATTTCTCTAACACCAATTCAAACTGGTTGAATCGTTCACCCCTAATGTTTCTTTATGGACTATTTCGAGCTGTGAATTGGAAGAGTTCAAATGTGACTTTAGGTGCGAGTGTTGAAACAGCTACCTGTGTACCAAAATTTCTTTCAGCTAATATAGAATTGGATTTTATCCATTAATTCACTCCCACTGTAATGATATGTATAATTAAGGCAGAACCTATGGAGATATCATGTTTGTGGTACATTACATTCGTAACTGGTATTTACAGCCCGTTATCTGCCCTAATTAGGAATGATAACCCAGTAATAATCCTAAACCCTGACAAGACCATTTCATATCTTCTCGTGCGATTGGCATTTGCCTGACGTTGTCATGGAAACTAAACGTAATAACCTGTCATTTCAATATGAATGTGTCGCTTATCCCGATGTCTGGGCGGTTAAATATCACGTGAGATATAACGGTTTCCTGAAAGACTTTATCGTGCATCATTTACCTGAAATATAACTATTTGTAAATATGGTGTCGTTAGAAATATTATTTACCGCAATTTATGCTTATCTGCATTTTCACTCAGATAAACGTTTTTGTCAGGTGCTGTAGTCGAAGTGAAAGGAGAGGATGCACGGGCATCCTTGAAGCCGTTATTATATAAACAAAAAAAGGTTTCGTTTTGTATTCGACTTTTGCTGATGTGATGGCAGATTGTTCTATTTTATATTTTAATAAGCCTACTCAAAGTTGTGAGAAAAGATTTTAATTACTTTTGCTTACAGATCAAAATTGATTTTCAAAATGTGTAGAATTCCATGAAATTTTTGTTGGAAATTTCAAAACGAAACAATTAAAAAGAAGTATTCGCAATATTCGACAGAGGCTATTGGTAGTTGCGTATTATTAAAAAAAAAAAAATGTTCATACTGCAATATATTTGTTTGCTGAATATTAATATAGTTGTATTTAATGCAAATGTCTAAATCCAGAAACTGTTCATGAGTTTATTTCATTTATGTAGATGTCATTATGCGTTAGTTTATTATATTTAGTCTCACATTCCATCAAACAGACTTAATCATTTATATATAATCAGTCATATGTTAGTTACATAGTTTATATCTAATAACATAGATTTTATTTCACTGTTATGAATATCTTGCCTCGTAGCAATTGCACTGTGTTCCATTGCTTGCCAATCACCGAATCTACTTTAAGGTCCAATGAAGTGTTTATTTTCCATGTGATCATAATCTCTAGTGACGAGGAGAGGCAAACAATTAGGTGCATGCAAATAATTCTGTATGCGATTAGTATATATTCCTATGGATCTTTAATGCATTGTACGACTAATTCCATCCCTCAGTGACTCGGTGACCGGCTTAGCACACTATTATCATCACAATAAGAATTTTGCTGTATTTTTCTCTATTTTTCCACACCGACGTACATTGTATTAATGTATTCCCCCTTTAGTCCCAATATCACAATCACAAATGTCAATCTCGTTATAGTCTACCACTATCAACCCATACCCTTTGTTGTATGTCGAGACCATTATATTCCATTCTATTCATTTTTTTTATAATTTAATCAATTATACACTAAAATTTATCTGAAATCTACAATATCTTCTGTTTTGAAAAGATTTAATCTGAGATGTGGTTTCTGCTATGTTGCTGTACGAATCAAATAGTTGTCATTGTAACTCTACTAAAACTCGTAAAATCGCTTTTTTCATATTTTGTATTTTTGCGTACGACGTCATCATGTGGTGCGTACTTGTGATACTATAATTAATGAAATGCTTATTAGCTATGTATACAAAATTATGGATTTATTTGTTTTCCTTACATGTAATGTGTACTATATTACTTGCATTTTGTCCCATTGTTGGGGAAAAGCGATGTTGGTTTATGAATTAGCCAAATAAAACATATTTTTTGATTTACTGTTGTTTTAGTTCTTTTATGTAACCTACATGAACAGCATGTATTTGAATAATGCATTCTGTATTGTCTGGAGTTACAATACAATTATTTTATTCTCACTATTAACACAGTATAGTGTTGATGCTTAGTGAATTACATCTGTACCTGTATGTAATAATTGACAAACAGTGATTAACATGTACGTATTGGTACAATAGTATAAGTGGTTGGTATTCGGCGAATTATAGTATTATTCAGGATAGATATTAGAAAGTTTAATACAGTTACAGACCTATCGATATTCTACGACGGTAAAAAATTAATACCGAAAATATCTGAAAACAGTTTGGCGTAGGTGAATTTTATGCAACACTAGGATTCGCATAACTTAACCCATAACGTTTCGATGACTAGTGCAGCTTGCACTGGCTCTGCCAGCTTCATAAGACGAATGAGAAGTGAAGTGTAGATATACCTAGTTAGTGCCCTATAAACCATTGCATGTCTTAGGCAGTAGTGGTGCAAAGCGTGACTTAAACGCCTTCGTTAGATCGTGAACAAAGCTCGTTTCCTGGTTGTTCATTTGTCTGATGATGCTGATCACTATACACCAACGTGTTACAAGGTAAATGCTACACGAACGTCAATACAGTAGAAAAAACACAAACGTGGAATACCGAAGTGTCCATCAACTACTCAATCCTCGATACTCCAGGGGTTACGCTCACTTTCGCTCTCTGCATCCCTGCAACATGTCAAAGCAAAACTGAAGGCACACGACTGGCTATTTGATTGGTCTCGGTAAACAAAACCGGACTAATCGCTAAGTCTGATATATTTCACTTGAATATTACAGAGGAGCAACACCCGACTTCAAAGCCAGTCAATTTAACCGTAACGCGACCGACAGATTATTTTGATGTGCATCAAAGAATCAAACTGATCTCGTCTCATCAACAAAATGGTGCACATTGAGCCTACGATTTTGCTTTAACATATTCCAGGGGTAAAGAGAGCGAAAGTAAGCGTAACCCATAGAGTATCGAGGACGAGACTGCTCTCATTTTACCGTAGGTGGCTTACATAAAGCGTAGGTTATAAATCTGACTCATTGGCTGAAACTGCATCGTATATCAATGTAGATTCAATGGGTTAAAACATTGAGAAGACATGCTTGTAAAGTTAATTGTTTTCAACTACATTTAGCTACGCTCGGAATTATTTGGAAGCAGACCTTAGTTATAAAAAAGGTAGCCAGTCATTTAGGATGTGTAGGGAATCTATTTAAATTTGCTTCTATTTCGTTATCATATTTGGTTGTTTTTTTTTATCTCAAACTGTTCTTAGTTTGTAATCGTGGATACAGCTTACTGTTGTAACCCACCCTAACTATCTATCTACAGGAACACGCAGAACCACACAATATATTTCTATAACAAAAAAGTGCAAAAATCAATCGATTCGGAACCATGTCAGAATAACACTGTAGCAACGCTAGCCTCTTAAACCGTTCATTAATATGCCCAGCGTTTTGTTTGTCAAATCTGATAGTGATGGAAGAAGCATGAGAGAAATAATTACCATATACGGTTACAAGCTCGGAACAAGGCCTGAATAACCGATAGAGAAGAGGTGGGTACACGTTTAGTTTATAATGTTGGCATACATATACAAAACAGTATTTACTATACTACTAAATAATCACACACACAATCCGAGATATTGTCTTCACCCGAGCTCCAATGAAAGCCATAACATTCGTCTCAGTGCCTCAAGGGAGGCAACTCCTACGCGATGTTTATCTTTCAGTAGGGAAACCCGATTCTTATTTTTTTCCGAGGTTAATCATGTTTCATGAGTGAAACATGTTTTTCGAGTAAAGGCAAATAATCGTGATTTGTGACAGCATTTGATCATACCGAAAAAAATTCGATCAATCGATCAGAAACAATAGCCCAATGTTAGAGATGATCAGGTTGATGCGCAATTGTTGTCGTCTGCTTCCGTCATTCGGAACGAGGTTGTTATGATCGGGGAAACATGAGCGTGTGAGGGTGACATGATGTTTTATTGCCCGATCATGTGACTAGTATCATCCGATCAGACACCCTGCTATAAAGATGAAATATAATTGTATATGATAGGAGCAAACTATGATAACTGCGCCAACATGATCGTTGTTATTGAAAAAAAGAAACAAAAGACAGAACAATAAGAAACAAAATCAAGAATAAAATTATCCTCCGTACGTTCTATTACAGTGGATGACTAGTATGATTTAAGTGTGTTTTACAACGACTCTATGCGTAATAAAACAAACAATAGGAATTTTCAAAGAACAAATCTAACGAATATAGAAATTGAAAAACTGTCATGTAGCATGTGTTGTTTTACATTTATTTATATATAACATGTATCTTCTTATAAAAACAAGCACTGATCTACGTTAATACAGCAAAAGAAATCAAAAACAAAAATACATGATGACATGCTCATATAACAGCAAAACTAACACGTGGAAAGCTTTATAGAACAACAACCACACGTAGCACGAGGACACTTTTAGACAATACAAAAAACTCAAAATACAAAAATATATTGCATAAGCAGGTATCTAGAAAATATCCATTTGATGCAAATGGTGACTAATACAAAACCGATACAGAAGCTTTTACATAATTCTAACTAAATACATTGAAGATCAGAAGAACACGTCATTTCGTGTCATTAAGCGTTGCGTATATATTGTAAAGTATATCATTAATAGCTTTGTGGCCTATATCAGATGTTTTGTTTTTGTTATCATCAGGAAATACTGAAGACAAAAACAAGTGCCCACACACAAAATGTAAATCCTCTTTGGTAACAACAGTAGCCATTCACTCAATCACATGTTACTGACAAGTTCATGCCATCTTAAAGTTTTGATGACACGACCATGCCAACTTAAAGTATATTCACAGCATTCAACATGTTGCAAAATTATCACTTAAAAATATCATTTCCTTGTTCACATGACTTGACGAATCTGACCTCAGTTCAAGTGATACTCCGAGTATGGTACATTCTGTCCTCACGTTAGGAAATAGTCCAACAAAGTAAAAGTGCCAACGTAAGCGGCCATGTGGTAACACTACTGGCACGTGATATTCCCTCCTGTGGGCCGTTACAGAAGTCTGTACGACACACGGAGATGCAGACCACAAAGGCCTGATAGTAGGCGCACGTTGATTGGTTGTTAGGTAGAACAGTCTTTAGACGGGGAATGTCCATGTAAGAAAATGTGTGACCGTCGCTACAGTCTCGTATGAAGCTGACATCTTTGTCTGTCGGGAATAAAAAACAATTTAATCAAGACATATGGTAATGAGTAATGAGTATGATTGTCCTAGAGGAAACATTACTAAGATTTAAATAAGAAATTCTAATTTTAACAATATACGACTGTTACACAATTCCAAGGTTTCCGCTAAACAACTTGTTTTTTAAACAAATAGGGAACGATTAATCAACCAAAATTCCGTTGAAATTCCGTTTTTATTGTCTAAATTTCTTTATCAACTTTAATCATTTTCTGTATCAATAAATTTTATTTTTATGACAAATTAGATTTCGAGGATACACAAATATGAATATGTATCTGTTTGTGTTATCGCTTCATAAATTGACTAAATTATCTATATTCTGTAATACTTGCCTGCCTTTTTGATACTTTCTATCATACAATAATGCTGGTTGGGAGCTGAACAGTTCCTGTTAAAGTAACCCCCCTTATTTCTGTCGTGTATTAAAGCGTTATACGAAGTGTCACATCGTCCGGAGTCTGCGCAGGCATAGCATCGTAATGAATCTGGAAAAATATAAAGGATATTAGTATAAACCATATTTTATTTCGTAAATTTGCAATTACAGTATACAGAACATTTAGTTATTACATAGATGAAATAGGATCCAGATATTAATAATATGATAATAATATAGCGCCCTATATAATTTGTAAAATTATTCTAAACCGCTTTACAACATATGGATAATTATATGTGTTATGATTTATAAACAATAAGGGCATACAAATCACCATTGTACCTTAACAAAGAGTCTAAAATGGAGACATGAGGAGGTGGCTTTCTATATCCTTCTAGAATTTGCCCATGGTATTTGAAGGTTATTCTTACATATGAATGAAATGCAATCTTCTCAACTATATTAAAAGTAGATTATTTTTTTCCTAATTTTCATAATGATAGTCAAAAGCCAAGGAACGGAATTCTGAGAATACTTTGTGCTGGGTATTAATTCGACTATGTTGTTATGAAAAAAGTACTTAAAGAACCGTGCAGAGCGTTAAAAATAAAAATGGTCGATGCAACAGATAAAATAATCTGAAACTACATGTGGTATTCCATGTGAAGCTACCAGAATAAATTCAAACTACAAAGTTACGGTCAGTCTTCAGGGACTGATAGTGCACCAACACAATCAACCACCTTGTGGGGTAAAATGTTCACTTATAATACCATATAAGGAGACACTGACTTTATAAAACAAAATAAGGTTGATTCAGAAAGTAAATCAGGGTAAGTGTTTAAACCCTTGGTCACTTCGTCCATTGAAGGATCATCAGTGGTACTACCGGTCAAACGGTTGTAAAGCCATGTGTAAAGTGGTCAGAAATATACATAGAAAACAGCAAAATATGAAAGATCCCTAAAACATCTATAAACCTCTATAAACAAATTTACAAATGCTGGCTGCAACATATCATTATTTTGAAACCGATATTTAATGTCTAATACATTTAGGCTCCATTGCTACTGCAAACCCCAGATCTCGTCAGTCTACCAGCAGAATCAACAACCACCTTGGTGCGTAAAATCATCAATGGAAATAGCTATGTAAAAACAAGTCGATGCAATAAGCCAAAGTAAATATTTTCACTTTACTAAAGCTTTAATAACTTATTAAAAGTTCTTGTAGATTGGGCTTAGGTAAATGTTATGCTACCAAACTATAGCATTACGTAACATCAATTTTTTATGTTGCTTCATTATTTGTGAAACGTAGTCGAAATGTAACACAGCCGATCAAAGGCTGTATAATAACTACCTAACAGATAATTAATCATATCATTTTTCTTAATTTACCCATCAAAATATTCAATAACCAATTATAATACATATAGAAAAAAATAGTATCGTGCTTTACGTATACCCCATCCAAATGTTCCTAACATTGCAAACAACCGCCACTTCTTCATTAGCTAGCTTTTTGTAAGTTTTCATGATAGGTTTAAGTGAATGTGACTTAATTGATCGATGATAAGAACAAAAATATTTTAAGGCATTAAGTCTAGACAATTCCTGTTGTTAAAGGGCTAAAAAATATTCATCAGTAACAAGATATTAATACCGATGTCAATCAACAATGGTCACATGGTGTGCATAATATATCTCAGGCGTACTATGTAGGAATACATGAAATTACATCAATCTAGTTTACTTTGTCCAAAATTAGAAGATGAATGCATCACTTCAGAAGAGAAAAATATTTCATGAAAGAAGATAACCCAATCAACGCATGGTAAAATATGTTCAAACTCACTGAAAGGTAGACCTGCGTCTGAACGATGTTTTCTTCACCCTCTTATATCAAAGTTTCACAGTACACAAACACTGTACTTCTAAGGCCGTACGTTTAATTGTTTGTGTATAAAGTAAAAATTTGATATTACATATTTCGGAAGTGATGAATCTTATCGAAGAAATTCATTCTGTAATAATGTACAACACGATCATGTATTGTTCAAGCAATATCTGTGTTAGGCATTGCTTGTTGAGGATACTTGCAAATACCGGCCTCTTAATGGAAGTACACTAATGTTTGAATGTATTAGTAACTAATAGAATGTTCCCCCGATTTAAGTAAAATTTGCACAAGTGATAATGTCAGCGAAAAAAATAATAAACAATTGCAAGGATGGAAATTAACTCCTCCTAAATTAAACAGTCAAGTAAATGTAGCTTACCTGTCTTTTTCATCATGTTAAGTAATACACAAAGTAGCAGCGCAGCTCCCGACATTGTCTTCATTTTCCGTCGGCAAGGCGTTTCACGCACCTGCGCATGCGCATACCTGTCTCGGCCAGAGGTACGGGTATATGTGTGAATACATCGGTATCTAATTGCAAACATAGAGGATCACTAGTTACACCCGCGTTGTCAACACGAGAGTTAAAGGCCACAAAGGTCACGGGAAACACTTCATCTGACGTGATTTTGTGTCTAATATAAAAACATAGAGTATTATAGCTATCTTTGGAGTTAATAGAGTTTGCTATTTTTTAGCGAGAGGAAATGATTATACTATTACTTTTCCTTTAAACAAAAACCAATTAATTTTCCCCTTAAAAATGTAGATTTGTTGTAATAATTAGCACACGTTAATGTATACGTTGTTTCTCAATCCGGGCCAACAAGATTGATTAATGCAAGTTTAACATGTTGCTTATAACTTTTGAAAAAACATTAAGTTTAAACTATCATTGTTGTTGATAAAACAAACTGACATACCAGGACGGTGTTCCTTTCTAGCCGTCGAAGGGCGTTTTCTTATATGCAACGTGGGGGCGAATAGTCGATCGATTGTACATTTTTATTAAAAGCGTTCTACTTCAGCTAAACCTTTTCCTTGCAGCCTATACACCCACTTAACCTTTCTCCAGCACACTGGTACCACAAACACATATTAACTAACCAAGCATACAATAGACTTATCAAACAACATATCATTATCACTAATATATCCTGGTGTATTAACCCGATATGTTTGATATTTCTGTAGTAGCTTGGATAGGGTATGTTCTAGCAAGGGAATCTAGTTAAGGATATTATGTTATTAAATTTTCATTCCTCGGCTGTAAGGAAAGGTAATCCCAGGTAAATAGCGTACCTCTGAGGTCTAAAGAAGGTGTGGACTAGCCTTTTACGTGTTATAATCGTTCAACATTACAGTTAACATTTAGATGTCATTACTTAACATCAAAACCATTCCCTGATTTGGTGAGAGTTGTGAACGTATGATGTGGACAGCGTAACGTAAACATTGTCAGGTTTCCGGGTGGGTGTTATCTTATACAAATACAACATTCAAAAAGCTGTCTTGATGGATTTCGGAACGGAGTTGGTAATTTATCAAGATTGAATTTAGAAAAAATATAAAGGTATGACGTGGGATAGCAGTGTTATTTGAATGTCTCAATATCACTCCCAACATACCAAGGTGTGCTGAATCATTTTATCGTTCATACTTGAACTTTTTACTTTATGAAGATTTTTTTAGTCTTTATAGAACACTGACATAACTCTTCGTAAGCTGCATTATTCAGCCAGCTCAAACTCGCAATACTCAAACTCCATCTTCACTCTCCATTACTCAAACTCCATTTCTCACTCTCCATTACTCAAACTCCATTTCTCACTCTCCATTACTCAAACTTCATTTCTCACTCTCCATTACCCAATCTCCATTTGTCACTCTCTATTACTCAAACTCCATTTGTCACTCTCCATTACTCAAACTCCATTTCTCACTCTCCATTACTCAAACTCCATTTCTCACTCTCCATTATTCAAACTCCAAATTTCTCACTCTCTATTACTCAAACTCCATTTCTCAATCTCCATTACTCAAACTTCATTTCTCACTCTCCATTACTCAAACTTCATTTCTCACTCTCCATTACTCAAACTCCATTTCTCACTCTCTTTTACTCAAACTCCATTTCTCACTCTCTATTACTCAAACTCCATTTCTCACTCTCCATTACTCAAACTCCAAATTTCTCACTCTCCATTACTCAAACTTCATTTCTCACTCTCCATAACTCAAACTCCATTTCTCACTCTCCATTACTCAAGCTCCATTTTCCACTCTCCATTACTCAAACTCCATTTCTCACTCTCCATTACTCAAACTCCATTTCTCAATCTCCATTACTCAAACTCCAAATTTCTCACTCTCTTTTACTCAAACTCCATTTCTCACTCTCCATTACTCAAACTCAATTTCTCACTCTCCATTATTCAAACTCCAAATTTCTCACTCTCTATTACTCATACTCCATTTCTCACTCTCCATTACTCAAGCTCCATTTTCCACTCTCCATTGCTCAAACTCCATTTCTCACTCTCCATTACTCACACTCCAAATTTCTCACTCTCCATTACTCAAACTCCATTTCTCACTCTCCATTACTGAAACTTCATTTCTCACTCTCCATTACTCAAACTCCATTTCTCAAACTCCATTTCTCACTCTCCATTTCTCACTCTCCATTACTCAACCTCCATTTTCCACTCTCCATTACTCCAACTCCATTTCTCACTCTCCATTACCCAAACTCCATTTCTCACTCTCCATTGCTCAAACTCCATTTTCCACTCTCCATTATTCAAACTCCATTTCTCACTCTCCATTTCCCACTCTCCATTACTCAAACTCCAAATTTCTCACTCTCTTTTACTCAAACTCCATTTCTCACTCTCCCTTACTCAAACTCCATTTTCCACTCTCTATTACTCAAACTCCATTTCTCAATCTCCAGTACTCAAACTTCATTTCTCACTCTCCATTACCCAATCTCCATTTGTCACTCTCTATTACTCAAACTCCATTTCTCACTCTCTATTACTCAAACTCCATTTGTCACTCTCCATTTCTCAAACTCCATTTGTCACTCTCTATTACTCAAACTCCATTTCTCACTCTCCATTACTCAACCTCCATTTCTCACTCTCCATTACTCAAACTCCAGTTTCCACTCTCCATTACTCAAACTCCATTTCTCGCTCTCCATTACTCGAACTCCATTTTCCACTCTCCATTACTCAAACTCAATTTCTCACTCTCCATTATTCAAACTCCAAATTTCTCACTCTCTATTACTCAAACTCCATTTCTCCCTCTCCATTAATCAAACTCCATTTCTCACTCTCCATTCCTCAAACTCCATTTCTCACTCTCTATTACTCAAACTCCATCTGTCACTCTCCATTTCTCAAACTCCATTTGTCACTCTCTATTTCTCAAACTCCATTTCTCACTCTCCATTACTCAAACTTCATTTTCCACTCTCCATTACTCAAACTCCATTTCCCACTCTCCATTACTCAAACTCCATTTCTCACTCTCAATTACTCAAACTCCATTTTCCACTATCCATTACTCAAACTCCATTTCCCACTCTCCATTACTCAAACTCCATTTCTCACTCTCCATTGCTCAAACTCCATTTCTCACTCTCCATTACTCAAGCTCCATTTTCCACTCTCCATTACTCAAACTCCATTCCTCACTCTCCATTACTCAAACTCCATTTTCCACTATCCATTACTCAAACTCCATTTCTCACTCTCCATTGCTCAAACTCCATTTCTCACTCTCTACTACTCAAACTCCATTTCTCACTCTCTTTTACTCAAACTCCATTTCTCACTCTCCATTACTCAACCTCCATTTTCCACTCTCCATTACTCAAACTCCACTTCTCACTCTCCATTACTCAAACTCCATTTTCCACTGTCCATTACTCAAACTCCATTTCTCACTCTCCATTACTCAACCTCCATTTTCCACTCTCCATTACTCAAACTCCATTCCTCACTCTCCATTACTCAAACTCCATTTTCCACCCTCCATTACTAAAACTCCATTTCTCACTCTCCATTACTCAAACTCCCTTTTCCCCTCTCCATTACTCAAACTCCATTTCTCACTCTCAATTACTCAAACTCCAAATTTCTCACTCTCCATTACTCAAACTCCATTTCTGACTCTCCATTACTCAAACTCCATTTCTGACTCTCCATTACTCAAACTCCATTTCTCACTCTCTACTACTCAAACTCCATTTCTCACTCTCTTTTACTCAAACTCCATTTCTCACTCTCCATTACTTAAACTCCATTTTCCACTCTCCATTACTCAAACTTCATTTCTCACTCTCCATAACTCAAACTCCATTTCTCACTCTCCATTACTCAAGCTCCATTTTCCACTCTCCATTACTCAAACTCCATTTCTCACTCTCAATTACTCAAACTCCATTTTCCACTATCCATTACTCAAACTCCATTTCCCACTCTCCATTACTCAAACTCCATTTCTCACTCCCCATTACTCAAACTCCAAATTTCTCACTCTCCATTACTAAAACTCCATTTTCCACTCTCCATTCCTCAAACTCCATTTCTCACTCTCTATTACTCAAACTCCATTTCTCACTCTCCATTACTCAAACTTCATTTTTCACTCTCTATTACTCAAACTCCATTTCTCACTCTCCATTAATCAAACTCCATTTCTCACTCTCCATTACTCAAACTCCATTTCTCACTCTCCATTACTCAAACTCCATTTCTCACTCTCTATTACTCAAACTCCATTTCTCACTCTCAATTACTTACACTTTATTATTCGACAGCTTTGAAACTTTGTTAGTGAATATGTTCTCTTTGATAAAGGTTAATTAAATTTTGATCTACTGAAAAGCTTAAAAGCATTTTCAGTACAATCAAATTCAGAAGATAAAAACATGTTGGCAATTAAGATAGCCCGTTAAAGCAGCCGTAGTAAATTTAATATCCAAGTAAAAACAGAAACAAATATTGCGTTTTCAAATGGCGAAAAGCGAAAAAACATTCAACACAAATAAATCATTGTTAGTATTGAACCGAGCTCATTTTGAGTATGTTGCTTGAAGAAATTTAAGAATTAAATGTGAAAATATGCTTTCTTTCAATTTTTTTTATTTTATTCATCTACCAGATATAATTGTATATTATCTGTATATAATATGTAATACACCTCTCTCGTAACGTACATTTGATAATATCAACTATATTATAAAATATAAAATAAATACCTACAGACATGGTAATTATTTGTACAAAACATAGATAATACTAAACTGTAGTCTGACAGTTCGTTACTTCAATGTCACGTTGATTGTGTCTCATTTTGGCTGTAGGCGTCGTAAAAAATAAATGTCATCATGTCGACATAATGGTGTCGTCATAAGCGATGTAGTCTTCGTGATTGCATTTTGAATTTATTACTTTTTTTACCAGTGAAGTATTGAAAATTATTCATTCTATAAAAGTGATTATCACATTTGCTATTTGACCATCAATACACTGATTAAATACTACCACTGGAAAAATTGCAAGTGGACCATCTGGTCAAAGCCTGGTTAGCTAAACTATACGCAGGCCTCGAGAAAAATCCGTCTGAGACATCTGATATGTTACCTATCATGGGGGAGTTTTTTTCTGGGGGAAACACAACGTTTAATTTCACAGTTGACTTTAATTTTCATGAAAGCAAGCAGACTATGCAAGTCAGCGATTCTAACTATTTGATCGGAGAACACTCGTGTCAAATGAGACGCGGTGTCAGCGTCTCCAAGTCCAAAATTGGGCTAAGCGATTGGCAGAAAGTATAATAGAACCGGGGACATAAGTATACCTTACACAGGTGGTGTTGTTATTTTATCATCAGGATAAGTGAAGACAAAACAACTCTGGATTTCCCCAACTCTCGACCATTGTAGATTCGGCGCTTATCAACAATACAAAGTGATCGGAGTTGATATGACGGGACTTTTTCTAAACTTTCTATGCTGTGCAGTCGTAAAATATATCAAAATATTAGCCACACTCGTGAAATATATTTGGTATAACTGAAGACACTGTTAGATATCCACTATATATATGCTATTGTGTCCTCTTTTAGGTGTCATTGTCAATTTAAGTATGTCCTCAATGCAGGCTATGTCATTGTCAATGTTGTTATCTCAACATTTAAGCGTAGTCATAGTCAATCTTGTTTTGTCCTCACGAAAGCGTCGTCATATATTCGATAAAGTTATGTCAACTTGTAGGCGTCCGTCGTCAGAGTTGACATGGTTACGTCTTTCTGTAGGCTTCGTCATATGCAATGGTGTTGTGATGACACGACAGAGCATACATTGATGTAGCGTACGTGAGAGCCTTTGACGTCCAAATAAGGTTTTCACTGGTAGCATCACCGTAGCCATGACCACGTTCTACAGTTTTACCACCCGTCAGCTGATCCTGGTACCACTCCGCCGAGACCACGCCCTGGACTGCCCGGGTAGAGTTTAGTGGATCATCACAGGGGAATTGTGGCGTGATTGGTGAAGCGGTCCCGTTCTCATACAGACATACGTTAGCAGGGAATGTGTCAAGATGTACCTAGTGAACGAACAGTTGTTAAACGATAACAATTGCTACCAATAGTTCACAAAATTAAAAGCCAACAGGGAACATTGTGATTGTTCACAGAAAATGTTTTGTTTAAACATACACGATGTTTTTAAATGTTAAGCAAACTAATTGTGACCAGGATAAAACTTAAGCTCTTTTATGATGAAAACTTGACATGCATTTTGCATTCTGATTTTAAAAGTTTTCTGTTAGTTTTAAGCTTCTCGTCATGTTAAAATGATTGCTAATTTTCCTTTCCACAGTAGTAATAGTCTATCATCACCAGCCAACGGAATTTATATGTCAAAGTTTCTTTATTATTTCGTTATTGGATAGAATTGTTCTTTTCGTAATTGTAATACTTACTCCACGCCGTTGCCAAGACAACAATTCATTTCCAGGTCTGTATTTTTCACCGAGGATGTAACGGTTTAACCACGTTGCTGCTCGCTCCATCGTGACTATTAAATCGGCTGGTGTATCTATAATATTGATTTTTTTTAAAGAACTTTAAAAAAATTACAAAAACTTAAGTGGCGTGAAAATTCTAAGTCTACTAATTGCCATATTTTTAGACTGTTTCGTATGCGTACAGCACGCTTAGTCATATATTTGATCCTGTGAATCATGTGTCGCGAAAAAGGGAGGCGTCCTGACCGAGTTTCATCCCATGTTAATATAAACATGGTCGTTTTAAACTCTAAAATGCAAAACGAAACTGGTGTTTTATGGATATCAAAAAGGGAAAACCGGGCACGAAACTGCACGGGGATGACAAAGCATTTACCTCTCAACTCCAGAGGTGTTAGCGTGTGTAAATCAAATCACAACTCCAGAGGTGTTAGAATGTGTAAATCAAATCACAACTCCAGAGGTGTTAGCGTTTGTAAATCAAATTACAACTCCAGAGGTGTTAGCGTGTGTAAATCAAATCACAACTCCAGAGGTGTTAGAATAAACAATACTAAACCAAACCAAACGTATACAAAATCAATATGATATTGTACAGTTTATAACGTGAATCAGATTCTAAAATGACAGCTTTCGTTCGTCATTTGACCTGGCTCTGCTTACAAAGTTTCAATTGGTTTGGTTTAGTATTGTTTAAAGTCCTATCAACAGCTATGGTCATTTAAGGACGGTCTCCCCTGTGTGCAAGATGCATGCGTGTAGTATATGTGTGTGTGTTTTGGGAGGCTGCGATACATTCGTTTTTGTCTCATTGTGATAGCGCGGAACTGATGCCGACTTTATAGTGCTACCTCACTGAAACATACTTCCGAAAACACCCAGCAAAACACCCCACCCGGTCACATTATACTGACAACGGGCGAACCAATCGCCCCACTCCTAATTATTGCTGAGCGTTAAGTAGAAACTACCATTTTTATAGACCCCTCAGGTATGTCTCGGGGACAACACCCAAATCCTTCCTCACAGGGGCGAAAGCTCAACTAAAGGTCAAATGTGAGGCATTGTCAAGGGAGACATTAGGAAGAAGAAAGTTGTTTAAAAAGAAGAGAAAAAATAAGATCCCAAATTTAGTCGCATCCTACGATCATGCCATCGGGGCAGCAGGTACAATTCTTACGCCCTACCTACAGGGACAACACAGTTTCAAATCATTAGGTAAGTGTTTATGTCTTTCAACCCCAAATGTCCGAACTGTATGTTTGTTTTAGCATTAGAATGTGTTTTGTAAAGTCACACTGTTCCGGTAGAACAACAACAAGGGATCATACAGGGATACAGAAAGATAGGCCAGCGACACATATAATGATAAGTCTGTGTCCAACGTTGACTACACGGCAATGGTAAAGCTTAAACTAAGATAACATTGACATAAAATAGAGAAATGTTTCCAATAGTAGTAAGATTGTTTCTTCCAAATATCTCATACGTCTATCAAAACAATCAAACAAAGTAGCCTGGGTCCATCTGTTACAGTGTAGCGTATTCATTATTTAACGACGTTTTCGACCTCTACTAATTCCGTAAATGCACAGTATAAAAAACTTGTAATTGTGCATGTAACTTATTTTGACACTGTTTTTACTGTGTTGATAGTTTTAAATCAGGAAATGGTTCCTTTTCTATATACAAGAAAACGAAAATGCGACCTATCGCTGATTAAACCTTATGAACAACTAGGCCTTGTAGTATGCGATGTCAGTTATTGAAGTCACAAACAATGACTGACAACAGCTGAAGACATTTTAAAAACTTTTCCGTACATTCCTCCCACACTAGGTAGCCAGAGCCCTCGTCAAACACTGTCCAGCTCGACAGTATGGTGAGCATAGCCATAGCCGTGCTGAACAGTCTCGTCTCTCTGTTCATCTGTAATGAAGGAGAGTTGACGTTTAAGGGGAGATAACTCGTCCTTACATATCATCAAAGACAAGTAGCAACAAATTAGCCGTATAAAAACAAAGCGCAATAAAGCATAAATAATTATGAATTCTTTTGTTTAGACCGGGAAGCTTATTTAGGTGTTTATCTAGTTTACAGTAAGGCCTTGTAAAACACATTATATAAAGATATAGACATAACAACGAGGCGCTGTCATGTTGTAGAATGACTGAATTCTTACTCACATTGTAATCTTCGAAATACACCTGACCAGGTCCGACTGTGGTCGCAATACTCAAAAGTCTGTCGGTACAGGGTCCCTGTAAGACTTCCTTTAGCTCTAACATAACAGCTACCAGTGCCTGAAGAGGGACACCAGCACATCTACTTTTAGAATTATTTAGATACAGAAAAATGAATAAAGATTCGTACATCCTTGTGAACAGGTACTACACGATCATTACCAATGGAAAATTGAAGCACGGTCAACCATCATTAGTTTGGTTTTACACATTGAATTTCTCACATAGCAAACATTTTCATAAAAAATAAGGCAAAACCGGTAGCGGACCCAAGAAGTATCAGGGTTTCAAAAATCACCCAGCTTGTCTTTTTCCCTATCCAAAACCATGCATTCCCCGATTTATTTTTCTTCATTATTATAAAATAATATATAACATGGGATTTGAAAATGCTCTATTTAGTTTGATCCGTTTTGACAAGTATACGTAAACGTCAGTATATTTACAGAATCGTTGCTAACAATCTATCCGTGTAATAAATCAGACACAGATTCATTTGATATGTGTACCAAATAAAACAAACCTGGTGATACAGTCCGTGTCTCATTATATGACGACGGAGAATCGACAGCGTCCTGGCGACCGACCAATATAACTGGAATTCGGACGGATGATACGTAAGGGCGATGTCAGGGCGGCCAGAGAAATTAGTACGTATTAAAAACGTCAGCATCGAGGTGGTATTTCTGTAGATCTTCTGTAAACACATAACATGTCAAGTTTTAACAGACAGGTTCTCGTTAAGTATCGGTTTTACTTAAAGACAACATTATAACTGTCTTAATGATATTATTTAAAAATGGAATAATCATATGCGAACTGCGTAGTATAGGAGACAATGTTATTGATTGAATGACTTGTAAATTGTAGTGAGTATACATGAAATTGTAAAAGACAAATAACTGAGACACAACATGGCGTTTGAAACGTCTGTGTCGTTAGGACTGGCAAACTAAGGCATTCGATCGGTAACAATAAGTTATCTATGAACTCGGGCTGTTTTGAGACACAAAAGCGACAACAATAAAGCTGCTGCACCCGTTGCAATATTTCTGACCTTTGCATTTCTCTCTACATCTAGCTACCCTTTGTTTCCTAACGCTTGGCAATACCGCACTTTTGGTTTTAATGTTGAACGTTCGACCAGGTGAGGAAGGCAATGGGTTCTGTCCCCGGGCCGGGTTGTACCAAAGTCCATACAAATGGTAGCTGTTATTCATTGCTTAACATTCAGCATTAAGGGTAATGACGACAACTTTTAACAGATTCGGCAACAGTTGTGTACTCTCAAATCTAGGGCTACCGTTACAATAACAGTATGTATTTAGAATCGCTGTTCTGTTATTTGTCTCAGGTACGGGCTGTGTTCGTGAAGATGTGTTCTGTGAGTCATTTGTTTGTTGTCTGATGAACATGTCATCAAAAGAAAACATTCTACGTAAACAACATATCGAGTTATAATTGACATTCTACGTAAACAACATATCGAGTGATTATTGACATTCTACGTAAACAACAGATCGAGTTATAATTGATATTCTACGTAAACAACATATCGAGTTATAATTGACATTCTATGTAAACAACATATCGAGTTATAATTGACATTCTACGTAAACAACATATCGAGTTATAATTGACATTCTACGTAAACAACAGATCGAGTTATAATTGACATTCTACGTAAACAACATATCGAGTTATAATTGACATTCTACGTAAACAACATATCGAGTTATAATTGATATTCTACGTAAACAACATATCGAGTTATAATTGACATTCTACGTAAACAACATATCGAGTTATAATGGACATTCTACGTAAACAACAGATCGAGTTATAATTGACATTCTACGTAAACAACAGATCGAGTTATATATGACATTCTACGTAAACAACATATCGAATAACAGATGACATTCTACGTAAACAAAAAGATCGAGTTACAGGTGATATTCTACGTAAACAACAGATCGAGTTATATATGACATTCTACGTAAACAACATATCGAATAACAGATGACATTCTACGTAAACAAAAAGATCGAGTTACAGGTGATATTCTACGTAAACAACAGATCGAGTTATATATGACATTCTACGTAAACAATAGATCGAGTTACAGATGACATTTTACGAAAACAATTCTGGGTTACAAAACACGCAAAACACAGTAAACGTTTATTTCACCAATCAATAGTCATTCATCCCCGTAGCTGCGGAGGTCACTGTAACGTGTAGTATCCTTACCTGGGTAAATCATTGAGTATGAGGTCTGGTCATCTAAGATTTTTTATCTCAATATTTTTTATTTGCCCATCTCGCTTGTGAATACGAATTATTCATTTTCTCATGTATTCCGAGTATCCCCCTTTTAGATATGTTGTCATCCGCAAAGTGATGCAATACGTTTTCATTTGTTGTCACATAAATTGATGTTCTTAACAGTTAGTATTCATGTACCTCGATGTCTGGATCATCAAGTATGTCGTGACTGACCATCTCTGTCAGAATCATGTTGGTCAGTCCAAATAGAACACTGGCCGAAGTTGTGACGTCAATGGTTTTCATTTGTCTTGTTGCTTGGGAATTCCCATTGCCATGAGTTTCATTTTCAAAATTCTAAAATATAAGTTTAAAAAAATGAAACACATAACATTTATGTTGATGAATGACCTATCATGCTTTGTTCTTATACATTATTTTTACACATGTCACTATTTCAATTTTTTTAAACACAGTAAATATGCAAATTTGTTGAGGTTCTTAAGTGAAATATAGAAAATGTAACACACAGAAAAGACAAAAGGTTTGACTTTCTGGCAATCGCCTATATTATATATGGACATAGGTACTTACTATCGAAAACAAAGAGCAGGGAAGAGAGATCAGAATAGATTAGGATTCACAGGGACAGTGTATCAGGTTTAGTCCCTTCCAGTCCTCCTAAGTGGAAGATTCTGAAGATGGCCCTCATTAGGCGACTCTTACATTTTAATATAACGCGCGCGCGCGCAGTGGGATACGGCAATGAACAAGGGCAACACCTGAACTGAAAAATAATTGGAAAATCAGAAAAGCAACTGATGAGATAATAAACGGAAGTAAAGTCTACAGACCCCATCAGGAAAAATACGTACGTAACCAGATTATATAGAGGTATAAGTCATTTGTAGTAAAGTCTACAGACCCCAACAGGAAAAATACGTACGTAACCAGATTATATAGAGGAATAAGTCATTTGTAGTATCAGTGATTCTCAGATTATATATATATATATTCCAAGCGAGATCTCGCGAGAGTTACCCGTTAGCCTCAGTTCCTGCTTTCGCCGCCGAGCGTGGAGGACGTGTTTAGTCGGTTGTTTCACTAGCTGAACTGAGCCCACAAGATACTGGTAAGTAATATTCTTATTACTGTGTTTGTCGGTTTGCCATTGGTTTGGTACTGTGCTTGGGTGGTATCATTCGTGGTTTTGATTTTGGTTGCATACAATACAGTACAGGCAGCTCGTCGGTGGACAAGACTTGAGTAGGTGAAATGAGCAGGGTGCTATCATTTTTAGCGTTGGAGTACGTATACGCTGGTTAAATGTAATTCGTTTGGGTACGGACGGGCTGTGATGGCCGGGTCATGGGTGACTGGTGGTGTTAGCATGGTGCTATATATATTTTAGCGTTGGAGTACGCTGGTTAAATGTAGTTCGTTTGGGTACGGACGGGCTGTGATGGCCGGGTCATGGGTGACTGGTGGTGTTAGCATCGGTGCTTTTTAGCGTTGGAGTACGCTGGTTAAATGTAGTTCGTTTATGTACGAACGGGCTATTATGGCTAGGGAATTTGTAGAGGCGTTCGGGTACGCTAGGGAGTATTATGGGCGTTCAGGTACGCTAATTTCATTGATTGTTGTGCACGTGGGGCGCATGAGATAGCCGGCGAGTGCATCTGCACGGTCAAGGTGGTTTTCAGTCTCGGTGGCTAGGGTGTGTCGCTTCGTTCCGGGCATACATCACGGTTGTGTGATTTATTTATTAATGTAATGTAGGCAGCGCCAAAAGACCTTTTTTATGGCCATTAGGTGCTATTTAGAGAGGTTTAGACGTGCTGTTTGGGGTCTTGTTTAACCCGACCTCGTTTTCGTTTTGACACTTCCGGTTGGGGAGTACTTCAGTTTGGAGTGAGCAGTCCACGTGGGTGTACATGTGAGGTCTAGAGTTGCTCAGGTGTTATAACTATTTCGGGACATTAGCGAGCCCGCTTGCAGGTATGTTGAGTTGGTACCTTATAGGTTTTGAGTGTGGGGGTGTTTATAAAGGCGTTTGTTTGTTGGGCGTATACATAGTACCATGCCGGCATGAGGGGGAGGGGTTAAAATGTGTTGTTGTGTGCGACCGGTAGCACGTGGGTTTTTTGCTGCAGTGATTTTTACGGCCGGCGGCCTGGGAATATCCTGAATGTTCTCTGGGATTAGCAGATAGGAAAATAAAATAAGATGAAATGGGAAAAATAAAAAATAAATAAAAAATAAAAATAAAAATAATAATTACGGTTTTGCCTTGGGGACAGATTAGCAGTTATTTGCGTGAGGGTTTAGGCTCTCAGGGTTGACTAAATATAATGTTTATATGGGTGTACCAGTCATTATTTTAAAGGTATTACATTTATGTGTGTTTCAGAACATGGTGGTGCTGAAAGCAAAGCACACTTTACATGGGCGTAAGCTCCTCCCGGTCATGCTCAGTTTAAGGGATATCGACATAGAGGTGATGGACATTACGGCGCTAGCAAGGCTTAAGAAGGACCATGGCCTGGAGAAGTATTCCGCAGAGCAGTTGGCGGAAGAGTTTCGCAATCTGACGGGCGAGGAAGCGGGGGATATCCTCGGTATGGCGGGGGAAAAAGACACAAAAGAGGCCTTGAGGGCGCTTGTGCATGTGTCCATCTTGTATGCCAATGAGGTGGGGGCCCCCAAAGCATCCACCCTCAAGAGGCGTAGTACGGAGTCCACCCACCAGGACACACCATCAGGGCAGGATAGACAGGAGGATGGCACAGGTACAATTAGATAAAATATGATTTATAAGTATAAGGGGGAACGGATTGTCAATTATGAAAACTAAGGGGGTTATTAGACAAAGAAGGAATATATACAGGTATAAATAAATATATGCAAAAGAGGAATATATTATGTCGGTATAAGGTTAGGGTTGAATGAATAAAACATGGGTTTGTGACAAATTTGTTTTCGGTTTCACAGACAATCTCGGGGGTGCTAAGGACGCGGTAGATAGCGCGTCGGCCACAGGCGAAGTAGAGGACAGGGTACAGGCGGTAGAGTCAGCATTGAGAGACATTAAGCAGAATGCGGCCAGGAATCAGGTACAGGATGCTCTACGGCACATTGGGATCTTAGCCAGCCGTCCAAAACTTACATCTCCAGCTGTTGTGGTTGCGGCGGTTGAGGCGCTGGTAGACATTGCCACTAAAACAGATCATAAGGATCTTAGTTTCTACTGCAAGGCATTACAAGCAGTTAGAAGGTTTGAGGACAATCCAGACTTATGTAGTTTATGTCAAAGGTTGTTTGGTTCGCAAGATGACAAAAAGATATCGAGTGCAATCGGGGAATGGTCTAAGCACCAGAGGTATGAGAGGGCAACCAACCCAGGTATAGGTCAGGCTCAAGGGGTTAATGGAGGCGGAGTCCAGGGACAGGGGGGGGGGGGGTCCTTGCTTTCCCTTTTCAAGGCCAGTGGCAGCAACCACCGTGGGCAGGAGGGGCACAGGGGTGGGGATATCCGTATAGAGTCCCACGCCCATATATGAACCAGGGAGGTCGTGGGGGGTATCGCAATAGGCCCACTCAGCAAGGTACATGTTTTCACTGCAAACAGAAGGGCCATTATGTGGCGAAGTGCCCAAATATTAATGGGAAAGAAAACAAGTAGACAACAGTTGGATGACGTGGAGTGACACTTTAACCGGGAAAGGTTATATGTTAATTTTTAGTTTGTTAAGGTGAGGCAACCTATTTCTCTAACCAGGGGGATCTAACCCTTAGTGGGGGTATTACCTTCACGTTGGTTGGGGATTGGATTGCTTCTCACTCTGTGGTTCTTTCATTGCAGGATCATAAGCTTATTTTGGATAAGGAAATCAATCCAGGAGGGGTCCCATTGTGGGAATTGAGGATGGGATTTGTCCCTCGCATGATTAGCAAGGTTGACGGTACTGTAAAATGGGTGAACTACAGGGGAGAGGCAATCCAATCCTCAACCAAGGTGATGTCGGCTGAAGAGGTAGCGGCCGGGGGGCTGAGCTATAGTTTAGCCAATCTTCCTATTCGTGACTCTGCATCATTTGTCCCAGGAGGTATACATCGGTGTAGGGAAGAGTGGAGGAAAATTGGGGTATCTGATGAGGTAGGGAACTGGCTTAGGGGGGGGGGGGGGGGGGGGGGTGGAGGTAGAACAGTATTTTAAACACTTCCAGGGTAATTTCAGAGGACGCGCATACGACTCTGACCTCCCATCCCCGATGTGTTTTCCAAATTCTAGTAGGTGTGAAGAGTTTCAGGATTTCATACTGGACACTTTGATTGGTAGAGTTAAAGATGGATCCCTTAGGGTCTGGGGGAAGGTAGGGAAGTGTAATCCTCCTCATCTAGTGTTGCCCCTGACTGTAGAGCCATCAAAGCCCAGGCTGTGCCATGATGAAAGGTTCCTTAACTTGTGAATCAAGGACCTACCCTTTAAGTTGGACACCTTGAGAGAGCTCCCTCGTATCATAGGGGCTGACAACTTCATGACTCAGATTGACGATAAGTCAGGTTACGACCATGTTTTGCTGAAGGAGTCTAGCCAGACTTTTTTCGGCGCCCAGTTTGGGGGGTGGTACCTGGTCTACACCACTTTACCCTTTGGGTTTAAGAGCAGTGCGTATATATACCAGACGGTTGGGATGACAGCGACAAGCTACTGTAGGTCTTTAGGTGTACCTGTTTTGCAGTATATAGATGACAGACTCATGGGGGAGCTTCAGGATAAGTCACAGGACTCGGGGATAGGGAGGGCACATCAGGCGGTATATATTGTGTGTCAGGTACTTACAAGATTGGGTTATACTCTTGGGAGGAATAAATGTACATTCATTCCAACACAGCTTCTGCAGTTTCTGGGTATGCTTTCTGATTCAGTTAGGCAGGCATTCATTCTTCCTGACAGGAAGATTAGAAGCTTTGCAGCATTAAGGGAATGTATCCTTAGTGCAACCTGCATAGATGTAAAGAGCCTGCAAAGGTTTGCGGGCAAGTGTATTTCATTTGTCCTGGCGGTACCGGCTGCAAAGCTTTATACGATAGAGGTAAATAGATGCATCGCTAAGGGTCTGAAAAACAGTCGGTCGGTTCCAGTGGACAAATACCTCAGGGAAGAGCTGGAGCATTGGAGGTTTTTGGATAGCTGGGAGGGGTGTATGCCCTGGAGGGAGGAACGCCATTTGCAGGTGGCTCTTGCATCAGATGCATTGGTGGATCTTCCGGAGGGAAAGCTTAGTATGGGAGACTTCTGGGAAAATGGGGACAGTAGGCCAATTCATGCTAAGGAGGCTGATGCCTTGGTCAGAACTCTTAGGTCTGTGATTGGGATTCTCAGTGGCCACAGGGTAGACGCGTTTGTTGACAATCAGGCTGTCATTAGTGTGTGGAATAGACAGGGGAGGAGGGATCCAACACTCAATAGGGTTGTCAAAGAGCTGTACGAATTGACATCTCAAAACAATATTGACCTCAGGTTGACGTACATCCCCTCAGGGGATAACCCTGCGGATGATCCATCACGCTCGCTCTCTTTAGCAGACAGTACTCTGACGAGGGAGTCCTGGGAAAAGGTTCAGGGAAGGTTTGGGCCACACTCGACGGATTTGATGGCCCTCGACTCCAATACAATGACATCTTCTAATGGGGAGAAGTTAAGACATTTTACCCCCTTCCCTAGCCCGTTGTCAGCAGGGGTTAACGTGTTTGCACAGACGGTAAATTTAGAGGAAAACCCCTACGTAATTCCCCCACTACAAATGATTATGCCCTTATTGGCTTTCTTTGGAAACCAGGCAGTAGGAGGGTGTACCATGGTGCTACCGGTTTTAAACCCAAAACCAGTTTGGTGGCCGGTTCTCAAAGCTCATGCAGTAGGAGCCCTACAGTTGGGGGATACTGGGGAAAAGGGGGTATTGTTGGTCCCCACTAAGAAGGGCTATGTAGAGGACAAGAAGGGTCTGAGGTGGCCTCTCAACGCTTTTAGGGTAAACTTTTGATTATATTCCAGATAGAGGAAGCAATTTGGGGAGAGACGTTACAAATTGAGGGAAGGCTGAAGTATTTGGAGGGCCTGGTAAAAGACACAAAGTACTAGAAGCAGAAGAAAGCTCTAGAAATAGAACTCTTGATGTTTTTACGAATGTACGGTAGGGCAGACTTAATTTCTGCTACCCCAAAGGACATACGCAGATTTTTGATTCGTAAGGATAAGTTTGGGAAGACGGTCGTGCACGAGGTGGAATGTCCTTGGCACGTCGGAAGCAGGATGTTCATGTCCTAAACGTTTGGCTGTGGGCACCATCCGTACCTTGTTGGGAAAATTGTCAGCCATTTTTGCGAGGCAGGGTAGGAATGGCCCTTGGTTACAGGGAAGGGGGGAGGGGAATCCAATAAATAGTGATGAGGTGAGGCTATACGTCAAGGCTGTGCAAGGGGAGCAGGCGCTGTCACATGTAGAGGTTAAGCAGGCAGTACCAATGTTTATCGGGAAGCTAGGGGAGATCTCCAAACACATTTTGCGGCGTCTGGAAAACAAGGGGGGTAAAGCGGGGGATAGGTATATTTTGTTGAGAGACAGAGCCTTTTTTCTCTTGCAATTTTTTGCAGGAGATCGCGCAGGGGATTTAGGTCAAGTGGTTGCACAGGAGATTAAAAGGCTAAGGGACAACAAAGGTTTTCTGTTTAGGCATAGGGTGGGTAAGACTCTTACAGAGGGAAAGTCTAACACGTTTGGGATCGTCAGGAGGGAGGAAGCTCATATTTGTCCGGTAAAGGCCCTTGAGCAGTATGTGGCACAGTCAGGGTATATGGGGGTAGACCTTTCAGTGGGTTACCTGTTCCGACCAGTGGACGGTGCTAGGAGGGCGGTATTACATGAGCCCCTATCATATAACATCCATCGTGTACCTCCTGGACCAAGTCAGCCCTGGAGAGCACATTCTGTTCCCCAACGATCCAACCCTACGAATGGTAATTCCCAGATGTATGGGAGATAGGACAGACAGGAGAGTGGTATCTCAGTGTGTTCCTGGAATGTGTGCAGGGGTCTAATAGGTAAACTTGAGGATCCGGAATTCCGGAATTTGTTAGTATCGTATGATATTGTATGCGTATCGGAATGTTGGATAAAAGAATTTGATGTTTTACAGCTTTCGGGTTACAGTCATTTTGCATTCCCAAGATCAGTATGTAGAGGAGGTGGTATAGTAATTTTTTACAAACCAGAACTGGCCGATCAAATTGAAGTGGTTGAAAATATCTACGACAGTATTGTCTGGCTTAAGATTAATAATACAGGTACCTGTAACTCCGGAGAACACACATTTATTGCATTTTGTTATATCCCTCCTGAGGGAAGTGTTTTTTATGATCACTGTAATGAAGATTTATTCCAAATTTTAGAAGATTCCGTTGGTAGATATAAAAGCATGGGTGATGTATATGTTATCGGTGATATGAATGCACGCACTGGAAGCAGGCATGATTATATAGAATTAGATACATTACATGATAGTTTAGTACATAATTTAGAAAATGTGATTAATTATAATGTTGAAACTGTCAGCACTGAGCGTAAGAATATGGATAAGGGGGTAAACACTTTTGGCCGTAAGCTTATTGACTTGTGCAAGTCATCAGGTCTGCGTATAGTTAATGGGCGGCACCCAGATGACGATACTGGTACATATACATTTTTTAATAATAATGGTAAAAGTACGATTGATTACTTGTTGGTTGTAAATGCGACAATAGACAATATACTTAAGTTTGATTCTGGTAAATTTAACATGTTTTCTGATCACTGTCCAGTTGCGTTTCATATATGTATTGGCAAATTTTTAGATACTCAAATTGTAAATGAGTTGGCTGATTACAATGCCATGTACAGTAGAGGAACCTGTACGTCTGTGAAATGGAAAGGCGAGAATACTATGCTAATTTTAGATAAATTAAGTGAGAACTGTGAGTTAATTGATGAACAATTGAATGTTGATTTAAATAACCAAGATGCAGTTGATGAATGTGTGAATAATATAAGTAGAATATTAAATGATTGTACATTACCTTTTTGTGAGTGTAGAGATACCCCTCTGAGAAACTCCCGCGATCACCGCACTAAAACTGTTGTTATTGAAGATAAACCGTGGATAACTCCTCGGTGCAAAGATCTATATACTGAATACAGAAATTCGTTGATTAATTTTAACCGGGATAAATCAAATCAAAATTACAATATATTAATAACCGCCAAACGTAATTACAAAAGGTTGGTGTTTAAACTTAAAAGAGATTATAAACGATATGAAGGCGACATGCTGGTCCTTTTGAAAAGAAATGATCCAAGAAAATTTTACAGTATCTTTAATAATCGGAAGTCGAACAGAGCTATGAATACACTCACAATAGATGACTTCTATAGACACTTTAAATATCTGGCGCAAAAGGAGAATGATGGCGCTGACCAACATGTTCCTAATGTTAATATAGAGTCAGTTTATGAAGATCTTGATTCTAATATCACAACAAAAGAAATTGTTAAAGCCATTGAAAACCTGAAATCAAACAAAAGTTGTAGTGAAGACTTAATCATAAACGAAATTTTTATTCAAGGAAAGCATATTCTGGTGCCATATTTGGAACGGTTGTTTAATGCTATTTTTAGATCTGGGTTTTTCCCTGAATCTTGGTCACAAGCATGTATTGTTCCTGTTTTTAAGAAAGGCTGTATTAACGACACTAATAATTATCGTGGTATATCACTTGTAAGCTGTTTTGGTAAATTATTTACATCAATCTTGAATAATAGAATTATGACATGGGAAAAAGAAAATTGTATAATAACAGATGCTCAGTTTGGTTTTAGAAAAGGCAGTTCAACCATTGACGCCATATTTGTTTTACAAACATTAATTAACAAGAAATTGCGTAAAAAAGAGAGACTTTACTGTTGCTTTATAGATTTAAAAAAAGCATTTGATTTTGTTAATAGAGGAAAACTGTGGAGTAAATTAATACACCAAGGTATTCGTGGAAAATTTTTAAAAATATTATTATCTTTGTATGATAATGTCAAATCCTGTGTAAAATTTGAGGGTCAATTAAGTCATTGTTTCCCTAATTATACCGGTCTCTTACAAGGGGAAATATTGTCACCTGTGTTGTTTTCTTTGTATGTGAATGATTTTGAAATTAATTTTATTAATGATAATTGTCCAAGTATTGATTTACAGATGCTTAACCTTTTCCTGCTAATGTATGCTGATGATATGGTTTTTTTCGCTGATAGTCCAGCTGCATTGCAAAACATGTTAGATTCTTTACACAGTTACTCTAGAAAATGGGATCTGGAAGTCAACATTGGTAAAACAAAAGTCATGGTTTTTAGAAACGGGGGAAACATAAGAAATAATGAAGTGTGGAAATATAATAATGAGAACATAGAAATTGTTGACTGTTTCAAATATTTGGGAATGTTTTTTAATTATAATGGTAAATTTTATAAAACCCAAAAGCATTTAGCGGACCAAGGAAGAAAGGCTTTATTTTCATTATCATCCTCTTTAAAGAACCATTGTTTGAATTTGGAAACCCAATGCTCTGTCTTTGATATTTATGTCAGCAGCATCTTAAGCTATGGTGCAGAAATATGGGGGTTTCACAAAGCTCCTGATATAGAGAGAGTTCATTTGAATTTCTGCAAAAAAGTCCTTAGAGTATGTAAATCTACATTCAATGATTTAGTTTATTGTGAATTGGGTAGACTACCATTAATTGTTACAAGAAAGCTAAAAGTATTCAAATATTGGTTGAAGTTGACGAAATCTGATAATTTGATATTAAAAACTTGTTATGATGAATGTGTCAACGTGAATGATCCGTGGATTTGTAACATTAAGAATGAATTAACTGCCCTAGGTCTTTGTTATATTTTTGAATCGAATCTACCATTGGTAAACACTTTTGAAATTATTCAACACAGATTGAAAGATGTTACTAAGCAAAATATGTTGGCAAAGATAGCAGCTTCATCAAAAGGTAGACTATATCAATATCTTATAGACAGTCATAGTATTCAGTTTTATCACCGTAAACATATTGAAACAAAATACAAATATATGTTAACTAAATTTAGAACGTCGTCTCATCAACTGAATATCGAAAAGGGTAGACACAATAATATCATTCGCAGAAATAAAAAAAACTGTAGCAAATGTGATTTGGGAGACGTCGAGGACGAATTTCATTTCATTTTTGTGTGTCCTTTTTATAATGATTTGAGGTTAAAGTATATAAAGAAGTATTATTATAAGAGTCCCTCTGTTTACAAACTTGTCCAACTTTTATCTGTAAATAATGTCAAAGAGTTGTCAAATCTAGGTAAATATTTATATCTAGCCACTAAGCGGCGAAATTGATTAATTAGCTACACGTATTTATAATTTTTGTGCTTTTGTATTATGTTCTTTGTTTAGTTTGCACTTGTATGCTTATAGTCACTCTCCTATAACATATATACATGTACAATATATCATGATTACTTTGTACCTATAAGTCTTAAGACTTTTGGTGAATAAAGAACTTGAACTTGAACTTGATCACATTCGGTCGCATATGAAAGACTGAAGCACTATCTTGGGGTGCTGGGTTTGGACAAGGGAGAGACTCCTCACAGCCTTAGAAGGAGGTGTGCAGTATCACTAAGCTTGACGGGGTCTGCTTCAAAGGCAGAAGTCATGGGCCATGTAGGTTGGTTTACCGGTAACAGTGTTGACAGATATAGCGAGGTACCAAATATCATGGATACAAGCACTATGTCATCGTTGTTTTCGGGGGTAACAGATGCGGAAAATCTGTACAACTCTGTGGGAACCTCTGGAAATCTCCCGAATGCCTTTTAGAACCGAGGTATGCCACAGGTTACGGATATGTGTAATTTAAACCAGGGATACGGGACCATGCATGGGTGTGAGAATGTGTACAGCAATGGAATGTTAGGATAGACATAGTGATGGGTTTGTAAATGGAGTTTTGGTGTGAAATGTGATGGGGGAGAGTCATAATTCATGCCGGGGATGGTTTTCACATGTATTGGTGCTATAATTAGGAGGAAATAAAATCATGGTCTTCACAATTATATTGTTGGATTTTTTCTTTCATTGAGTGTATATAAGTATTGGGTGTGTATTTTGAGTTTTTTTTTTGGGGGGGGGGGGTTCGGAGGGGTTTTCCTATAATGGTCGTGAGGACCAATTGATTAATGGTAGGAGAATCTACTGATTTCCACCCAATACTTATATATGGCAAATGTTCCCGAGAGAGATACTGATTGGAATATATTAAGGTCACCAACAACTTACTTTTAATGCTTAGAAAACAATTTTTCAATAACAACAGAAACGGAAATCTCATGGTGGTGGTGGTGGTGGTGGTGGTGGTGGTGGGGGCGGAATCAGGAAATGTTGGCGACCCTAAATTGTATCCAGCGTGGATTGAAACCACTCATGTAGGAAACCTTGGGTAAACAATATATACCATATAACATTTTAATATATTCTATTTTAAACAATAGGAAAATTAGGAAACAATCTACTTTTGTCTGCTTTGTCGATATAAAAAAGGCATTTGATTGTGTTAGACTTGATTTTTTATGGATTAAAATGCAACATTTTGGTATCCAATGCAACTACTTACGAGCCATAAAATCCTTGTACCATGATATCCAATGTAGGGAAAAGATTAACTGTAAACTTACAGAGGACTTTGAAGTAAAACAAGGTTTGAAACAGCGATGTAAAGTCTCCCGATATTTTTTTCATTATATAAGAATAATCTGGCCTGTGATAGTAAATTGGTAGGTAAAGGTGTCAAGGTCGATGATGCCCAGGCATCCATACTTCTGTATGCGGATGATATAGCACGTATCGCGCCAGATGAGGAGTCGATGCAACATATGTTAGACAAGCTTGATAGTTGGTGTAAAGAGAGGAATTTAGGCATAAATCAAGAAAAAACAAATGTTGTACATTTTTTGCAATCCATCTGGACCTCTAACGAGTTTTAATTTTACATGTGATGCTATACCTATAGAAATAATCCAGAATTACAAATACCTTGTTTTATGGTTTCATGTACACCTAAATTTACATTTTACTGTACAAGAATTGTGTAAATCTGCAAGTAGAGCATTGTATGCTCTTTCTTCCAAGTATGAACATGCTGGAGAAATGTGTTATGCGGTTTACTGTAAGCTGTATGTATCCCTAGTAGAGCCAGTGCTATTTTATGGTACTGGAATCTGGGGTCTGAATAAATATAGAGAAGTTGCTATGGTTCAAAATAAAGCATGCAGGTATTTTCTGGGTGCTGCTAGAAATGCAAGTAATGTAGCCCTTTGAGGAGATATGGGTTGGAATTCATGTGAAGTTAACCAATTAACTGAAGTTTCTAGATCATATTTACGCATAAACATAAATGGTCATGTTCTATTAGAAAATCCTGGGACTGGGTTGTTAGTCTGATAGCGGAGACAAATTTAATTGAACTTTTAACCGCAAATACATCAACGTACACATATATGAATGATATTAAGAATGTCCTGAGTTTGGAAATTGATGATAAGTGGCAGTTGTTTTTGTGGGATGACACAAACAATGTAAATGGTAATAAACTGCGTACATATAGAACTATCTGTTCATTTAACTTTAGATGTGGTTCTTTGCCCCTTGAAATTGAAAAAGGTAGGCATACCCGACCTGTGATTCCTGTCAATAATAGGTTATGTAAATTATGCAACAATGATGATTTTTTAATGGAATGTTTATTTTATGATGATCTTAGATCTGTAATATTAACGAAAGCAAACAACGTATATGACTTTTTCAATGCTACGAACAAATTTGAACAGTTCAGATATGTGATGTGTGAACCAGTTCTCCAAAAAACACTAGCTACCCAATTTTCTCGTATGTGGAGGAGAAGAACTTTGTTTCTCCCTTATTAAATTATGTATTATAATTAGATGTGAAGGTATAAGGTGGGGGATATATAATTTGACGGTAGGGATAGGCCCAACCACTCTTGTATATCTTTACCCTGTTGGTATACATGGTATTATATATATGCATAGTATACCCCTGCTACTACAAACCCTGGACCGTTTTTCTTTACCAAAAGTGCGTTGCGTTTCCGTTGTGTTTGCGTTCCGTTTCCATTCCGTTAGCGTTGCGTTTGCGTTCCGTTTGCGTTGCGTTTGCGTTCCGTTTCCGTACCGTTTCCGTTCCGTTTGTTTTGCGTTTGCGTTCCGTTTGCGTTGACCGTTTGTTGTGCGTTTTAACTTAAGCATTGAATGTGCATTGAACATGCGTTTTGCTGGTTATGTAAGAAAACGATCGATGGCTATGTGCATAGTTATATGTATAATAGCGAGCGCAGCGAGCGCTTTTTCAAAATAAACTATTGCAAAACATTATAACGATGTGTATATGACCCCTAGGTAAAAAAAAACACCACACTTTAGAGTGTCAAATTGCCTATCGTCTTTTAAGTTGTTCTTTCTGATGAACTCATTAGGTATCAGAATAATTAAGGAAGTTTAATTGCTGGCTGAAAATGGGCAATTCTAGCACGGACTTAGATAGCAATCTAATTCCGTGGTCTGACCTATGAGTCGAAAGGTGTGAAGGGGACGTAACTCACGAGATCTGAAAAAATAAGCTAAATGATTCGTCATTTCACCAAGGAATTAGACTAGACCTAGGTCCATGACTTTGACTAATTTTTAAATGTTTCACTTTTCGAAACGTGTGAAATAATCAGTTCTTAAATATGAAAATGAAAAAATGATTAACTGATTACATGTAACGTTAATCCATTCAGATACGTGATCACTCACAAACTCTTCTTACAGATCATTGATTCATGTATATCTGGTCACACACTCTTATTATACTATAAACCACTGAGATACCTGGTCACAATCACTGGTGATAGTTCACTGAGTTACATGTACCTAGTCACGAACAGTAACAGACGCACAACTGAGATACCTGATCACAAAAAAATATAGTTCACTGAGATACCTTTTACAAAAACTTACTATAAACCACCGATATCCCTGGTTACAAACTCTCACTATTGACCACTGAGATACCTGTTTACAAACACTTATCATAGATCATTGAGATACCTGGTCACAAACTCTCACTATAGACCACTGAAATACCTAGTTACAAACTCTCACTATAGACCACTGAGATACCTGTTTACAAACACTTATCATAGATCATTGAGATACCTGGTCACAAACACCTACATTAGACTATTGACGCAACACTTCCTCAGAGATCAAGTCCAGTCAAGATAAATACTTTAAAAAACATATATCACGTTTGTGAGGCGTTTACATAATTGATTTGTCAGTTTGTAAACAAATTCATGACGAGCACTGCTTTAATATGTTATTTGCATTCATAGCCTTACGCATCGAGATACATACAGATGTTAAAGTTAAGTGTATAATTTACAAAATTATATAAAATGTAGTATGGCAGGTTTTGACTGCATTTTATTGGAGGTAATATAAAAGCCTTGCAGCTGGGAACACGTCAGATTTGTTTTCAGAAGCTGAACTCATTCATATTGTCTTGAACAAATCTGAATAATTTCATGACTGACTCACCCTTAAAAGCTTTTAACTTTTTTATGTAATGGTTTTGTGCATCCAATAAAGTAGGTTATAGTCATGTGAATAACATATCTTCTGATGCCGATTACATTTTAGATTAGGTTTAGAGATTATTCACGATCTGTAGATTTCTTTACACACGTGTACCACGCCACCAGTCGTAAAAGTTCAATTTATCATAACTCTGTCAATTTTCAAATATCTAGCTGAAGTTTGGTACATAGGTGTATCATAGTCATATGGATAACACACAGGGGCTCGGTTTCAGGATACTAGTACTTTCTGTTAGTAATAAACCTATACACACCAGTAAATAGCAACAATACTTTTTATCCGGTGTTTACACATTCTAAAACCTATATCCTCAATTTTTATAAGGTTTACCATTTTGATAACTAAATACTGGTACATGAGATATCTAAAATTGAAACATATTGTATGAAGGTTATTATAATTATGGGAATTTAAGGGGGTTTCCCCTGTCAACTACAAGTAAATGTAGAGATTCAACTGGGGAGAATTAACTGTGATATAGTGTTGCCCATGTCCGTCCCGTCCCGATTCAATGTAAACAATTAGCAACTTCATTCTTTCATGGATTTTGGTCAAACTTTATGCAAAGGTCAAGTATAAGTATACTTCGGACATTATTGTGTTGCAGGGTTCCAAGGTCAAGGCCAAGGTCACTGTTGCTACATATAGACAATCATCAACTGATTCATTTAAACACTTCGCAACTTCATTCAATACGTTATGGAGATGGTAATTACATACAGAAAAAAACATGAATATTCAAATCAACTTATCACCTTGATGTGTAGTACCTTGTGTGTGTGCATGTTTCAGGTTATCAAGATCAAAGTGGGCATTTATGTCTTACAGACATTTTCTAGTTTGAAGGAAAGTTCAATGGTCAAATGCAAGCCAAATTTATGAATTACACGTGGATCTAATCTGCAAGGGGTTTGAGCCCAACAGAGGTAAAATTGACTAAATTTTCAACGGTACTCTTCATAGATGGAAAGGTCCTGTAGGCCTGTTCCAAATTTATGAATATCTTGCTACCTCTGGATCATTCATTCCTCCTTAAGAAAGGGTTAGTGTTTAGGCGAAAACAAAACAAACGTTTTTCATGCAACATTCCAGAGAAAAATAGGGCTGGTCAGTAAGCAGGCAATTTTTTTTATCTTTTATTTTTTATTTCATTGGTCAATATTTACTTACAGGGTAATAACAAATGAAAGAATTTAAATAAATTTCTATGCATTTCAATTGTTATTATTCTGTCAAGAAAGTGGCCAGGATCCCATAACCATAACAGGAAGAAAGTGTATGTGATCTTTGCCGGACTATTATGTAACCCTCTTAGCCCCAAAGGCTGGGTAAGAACAACTTTAACGACTTTTCAAGGTCTCTTGTATTTATTCTCTCCAAAGAAACCTATTAACAAAAAGATACGAAACTAAGACTCAGTTACAATATACATATACAGTTACTTTCACTTTACGAATACGATGGACATGACTACATATATATTATCACAGGTATTGTTATATCATTACATGAATAAACACTATGAGTAAAATATATTATGAGACTTACCAGGGACCTGGGAAGGATATACACTGTCCGTCCTGCTCGGCAGCATAGTGTGAAGTGAATCAGGGTGGTGACGTGCGCGTACATATAGGACACACGGGGTGGCGTGAGTATGTAAATACTCGTGCAGATCACTCTCTCACAACACTCCACGTTCAGGTTATGACACGAGTACGGGACAGACAACACGTGGACACTGTGTGACTTAGTGCAATGAATACACCCTGTTACAATTACAATGATCTTCATGGATACAAAGTAGGTTATTAAACTGTCCCTAAGGTCCACAGGAAAATTTAAGGAAGGTCATGATCAGGTTATCCAAAGCATATGTAATCTTGTTTTTGGCCTTACCGTAGTTTATATTGGGAAATAACACTTTTTGGTATATTTGTTTACTCTCAGTGGGAACATAGTTGGTTGGAATGACTATCATGTGACTGAATTATTATGGTATGAAAATTAAGAACCTGGCCCTTCCCTAGGACCTATACGGAGGGGCCAAAGAGGGAAAATTTACTGAAATTTGAACAATCTTCTACTTCAGATCCAGATATGCTAGAATCAAACACTCTTCATGGATGGAAAGGTCATAAGTCGCTATGTCTGAAATTGTTATTTCATTACCCCCGTGTCAATATATTCCTCCACTATATCCTTTTTTCCGGAAAATTGTCAGCGATATATACCGTAAGTCAGACAATTATGTACCCACCATAAATGATATCAATAATATATGTTGGTCACTCCTAATATGAATTTCTCTCAAGGAATTCGAAAGCCTTTTTTTAGGATTATATGAACTTTATTTTTGTTTTTGTTTGATTTTTACATCACTACAACAAATAACATCATTGCATTACAACTCAGGTCCATGTGGTATGCTTTAAGCTCAAAATATGGTCACGGTATAATGCTTTCTAACACTAAAATGTAAATGATTAAACTGTTTTATCATTTGGTTATATTCATAAGGAATGGATACTGCAGTCATTGATTCTCCAATATTGGAATATTGAGAAATTGAATGTTGGTACCATAATTACTTAATACTGATTGAGAATCATCTTTGGGCTAATTGTATTGCCATTGCATGTCACCTACAGACCAGGTAAAGCTTGTATTGTAAATGAGGGATGCTGTAACATCATCAGTTCTTTGTTGTTTGTCTGTCTGTTCTTAGAAATGACAATGCTCTTTGCAGGTCAAAAACAGATTAATGAAAATGCTAACTGTGATTGCTCCCAGGGTCCTGTCACCCCAGCATGGTGACCTTATAACATTGAAATGGTTGAAATAAGTGTCCTATAATGAAAAACACCTACTGGCGATCCGGAGGCACGGTAGTCTAGTGACAGGACACTGGGCTCGTGACCGAAGGGTTGCAGGTTCGAGTAACGGCACGGCACTGTGTTGTATCTTTGAGCAAGATACTTTGCTCCGCTTGTTCCAGTCTACTCAGCTATAAATGAGTACGTGGTTGGGCAGTGCTAGAATTGTAGAATGCTAGCTGTGAATGCTGGAATGGCAGCACCGGATGGATGCTCCCCAGGGAGTTGAGAACGATATCAGAGAAAACCTGTCAGATCTTCCATGTAGGCCTTTTTGTTGTTACTTATTTACTATTATTTTAACACCCTTGTCAATGTATTGCCTGATTCCTTTAGGGCAAAATTTTCCCAAGACAAAATGAAAGAAATATGTTCTACTGTGGCAGTGCATAGAAAATATTGATTAACAAGGCAATGTATTGCAAGGCAATCCATAGACCCCCATGGCCACCGGTAAGAATTTCTATACACAAACAGTACACTTATGTCAGAAAGTATATCGGTCATAGTGAGGTCATAGTGACCAACTTCACTCCGCCATCCCAAGATGCCCTTGTTCACCAAATCTAGTTACTCCAGGTGAAAAAGCATATGCCCAATAAAAATATTTTCAATAGTAAAGATTAAAGTTCAAGTCATACGTCACAATGACCAAAATCTTGCACTTTTCACTCCGCCATCGAAAGATGTCCTTGTACACTAAATTTGGTTACTCCAGGTGAAATAGTAAAGAAGATATGCCCCAGTCTAACTTTTTCAAAAGTTAAGTAAAGTCAAATGTCAAATCATACCGACACAGTGAGGTCAGTGAGGTCAGTTCATGAAAATCTACATGTTTGCCTAAATTGTCAAGCCCATTGCCCCAGGCAAGTAAAGAATGTCAATGTTTACTTTGAAACATTACAAATTCTAAATTTACAATTAACATTTGCTAGTCTTGGAGCGAGATCTAGAAGGTATTTTTCTAATACTAAGTAATTTTTAAACATTCTGTAATTGGTCCCTTTAGGTGGATTGAAAACATCGCTTCTCCAATTATTAATGAATTTATCTTTGAGTGTATGGAAAAAAAAAATTTTTCAACCATTGGGTACTATGGAATTCTTGACTTTCAAATACATGTATTAAATAACATTCATCAAGAATAATTTGAATACAATTAGTCCATTGAGTATTATAGTTTATAATAATATTATACATTTATTGCTGAATTTATTAAGTATTGGTTCTAAAGATTAGGCCCAAAATCCAATCATTCAAACTTTGATATTTATACTCAGAGGAAATCTTCTTATGTCTCCATAAATCATGAAATTTGGTGTCGATGTTTTCACCTGAAGAATATGTTTACAGAATTTCAAATGTAAACGTTGTAAAAGTTTGTAGTCACAAAAACCCCAGACTACACAACCATACAACATGACAGGCTTGATAGCTTTATCAAAAATATCTAATTTACAGTCAATTGATAGATTATGGTCTCTGCATTTACCAATAGCACTGTTACAAAGCCTGTAAAGAGCATGGCAATTTGTAAGTACACACAGACAAACAATAAAGAACTGATGATGATACAACATCTCTCATTTACAAGCTCTACCTGGTCTGTAGGTGACATTAGGTCGGTGGAATAGGTACGTTCATTCTCATAGTTTGATAAATTTCATGTGTTTATGATATTTGTCTATATGCTGTCAATCAATTTTAGCTCATATGGCCGGTATTGGCAGAGGGCTCGGGCCCAATAGTGGAGATAGAGGAAAAAAATGAATTTTGTACAAATTAAAGGATTTTAACCAAATTTGTTCTAGAGCATCTTTGGACAAAGGGACTCATGTTTGCATAAACAGAGGGTGTTGATGTTGTTTTTTTTTATATACTTTTGACAAACAATTGGCAATATGAAATTCTACAAACCTTCTTTCAATTCTTTCAATACCTTCTTAGTGCCCTATAGTAATCACAGTGTCTGTCTGTCGTCTGTCTGTCTTTTAGCACTTTTGTTTCCGGAGATTATTTCGGGACTCCAAAAGGCCGAAATTTCTAAAATTTCACATGGTGATACAGTGTGAAACATATAGATGTGCAAAGGACCAGGAGTTTCACAATTTTATCAGATCAAAGTCGCGGTCGCTGTTACTAAAAATTGAAAAGTGGGGCTATACTGTCAAAAACACATTACATGACCCTCAAAAAGCCAGAATTTGGTAAAGATTTTGTTATGACATAATGAAGCAAAGTTGGTCATAACCAACAAGAAGTCAACTTACCAAAGGTCAAAGTAATCTGGTCAAAGGTTGATTATAAGGCCAACTTATGTTTATCTTAACAAAGTTCGTCAGAATTAATTCGGCATCTGCGTATGCAATTAGTACTGATGTCCATCTGTCTATCTGTCCTCTGTCCGTCTGTTTGTCTGTTACCACTTGGAGATTATCTCAGGAATCAGAAGTTCAAAGTTCAAACTGAAATTTCACATGGTTATACATTGTGATACAGATATGCTATGGTTTTTTTTAATCCTCATGTCAATGCAAGGACTAATACTAAAATACAAAAGCCTAATTGACACCAGCTTATTGTTCAGGAGGGGGGGGGTGTAATCTAGATAATCCAGTTTTACTTCAGACATCATTCTCTAACGTCGAGTCTTTTCTAGAAAAGTTAGCTAGAGGAACCATATCTGAGTTTGAGTTACAAGTTGATGAAATAGACAACAATGGTGCGGTAGCAAGATTTATCTTCACTGTTGTGTTATTGTTCTATATTAGTATATAATAAAGTTATTTAGTACTCTTGCATTAGGGAAGAATGTTAAATGATACTTTGTTTTTCCCTCATAAATGTTTCACTCGAGCTTGGTCCTTGTGAGTTGTGTTTCCCTACAAGGCCACAAAATGTATAATATGGGGGAGGGGTTATAATGTGGTTAGTTTGTCTGTCCATGCATCTATCTGTCTGTAGACAAAATGAATATGAATAAGAACATGAATTGGTACCTCCTCCTAAAACGCTGCACCAATTTTAATCATACTTGGTACACATAATACTTAAATTAAGGTGTGTTACTAGAGTAAATGGATTAAGTTATGCCCCTTTAAAAGCATTGTTTGCACTACTAAAGAGCACATACTTCAACAATTGCAACGATACTTGGTACATATAATGCTTACATTGATCATGAGGGGATATGAGTATTCGAGAATATAGAACAGAACTTTAGCTCCCAAATTTATGGAGTTATGTCCCTTTGTTGATATACATTGCTTGAGCTACTCATTCTAAAATAATGTACTGGTTTGATTGATCCTCTTACACAGAACCCTTACAGCAAAATATAGCAATTTTAGGATACCTCTCCTATATTTCCTCACCCAATAACCATAGAGAGACAGTTATGATGCATGGGCATGGGGACTAAGTGTTTGGATCAAATCATAGAAAGGTTGAGACCTCAGCCCTTTGACCATATCCGTGCTGGCTTGGGATTAAAGGCCGAATACACTCATGCTTTTATGATGGCCTGCTGGTTATGCTGATCCCTTAAGATTTAGTCTCTTGGTCATTGCTTTTGCATGGAAATTGTAGAGAGAGACAACCGTTTATCTAATTGATGGTCATGAAGATATGGATACACTTAGTCTACAACAAGTACTTTCAGGGTTCAGCCCCGCCCCTTAGGCCTTAGTACAGGTTTATTAAATTGAAATACAGGCATTTGATATTCCGTCAACCATACAACCAAGCATGTGTGTTATCATGGCATAAAGAAACAAACACAATCACGGATGCACCCTTGGGTCTAGCCCTATTATTAGATATTTATTTGCCTAGAATGGCTTTTAATGAAACCGTTT